CTTTATCGAAATTTATCGACCCATTTTTTTCCCTATCCCACCACATGACTATCAATAGATAGATTTAACTACTGAATTATCGTTCAGTCCTGTTCTTACTTTCGTGCTACATGTACAAACATATTTATTCTAATATGTTAAGTTGCAAATTCGACTAGTCCCAAAATACAATATGGCAGCTTCTGTGGAAAGGAAATATTGGCTTCAATTTTCAGCAGAAGGTCTTTTTGTATATGCTAATGATAATTACATTTAATAATGGAGTGGAAATAATCTTTCTCACAATCAAAGGATGTCACTTTAGCTTTAAACCATATAGCATGTTTGAAAAAGGAATTGAAACGTTCGGCTAGGGCAGACTGCTATTGACATTCCCACTGATTAGCTCACCTTTCAAATAAGATTTAATGGTTCATGTTTCCACCAATTCTAGCTTTCACATGTTTTGGTTTGGCTTTTTCTTGTACGTTATTAGGCCCGAGCAGCGAAAGCGCTGCGAAGGCCTCTTGTTTTTGCTCTGATTATTTTTTTTGTTATTCCGTGCCCCCTTTGAACGGCTTTTTGGGGACCTTAACATACCCCAAAACTCACAATATTTTGCAAACTTGTCAGGCCTGGTGAAAAATTTGATATTTTAAAGGTTCCAAAAAAATCGCAAAGAAAATGGCTGAACAGCGCCCCCTAGAAAGTGAAAAAAAAAAACCCTCTCCATAAAGCTTAGTTTATCATACATGTATGAAATTTGGTACACTTGTAGTACTCAACAGTCCGCACAGAAAAGTCTCTTGCAAGCATGGTCAATATCAAACAGGAAGTCGGCCATTTTGGGTTGAAATGGCGATTTTTAGCCGTTTTTGCCGTTTTTAGGGTCCGTTTCTGATTGGATTGCTCGATCATTTTTCGCACGATCGTCTCAAAAATTGTGTAAAATTGCTCAGAAGGGATGGGCGAACAAAATGAGAAAAAGATTCTGACTTTTCGTACATGTTGAAGGGGCGGGGCCAGGCCTCGAAGTTTGGCTACTCGCCAAAAATTTTAAATTGCTATAACTTCATAATTGAATGGAATAGAGTTACCAAACTTTCTGTGGTCATTCGTCATCCACCCACAAAGTAATTTGAGTGGTCGGATGATGACATCATACAAGCCCCGCCCCCTCAGGACCAAAAAGGTCAAGTTTTACTTTGAAAGGTCCCAAATTGCCCCATTTCACTTAATCACCACAAATATTTAGCTGGTAACTCAAGACAAGTGGGGGTTGCTTGGCGTCACTTTATGGGAGTTTTCGGTAGAGGGCGGGGCTGTGGCGGCGCGGCGAAGTCAGGCGTACTGCCGTAGCCTTACGTTTGCCTCCCATTTCGTCATTTCTAAAGATATCGTCACGAAACTTCTTGTGAGTGATCCTAGTCCGGCCCCCCAAAAGATCTGATGTGAACATCCGGTGGGCGTGGCCTATTTTCTTAAATAGCGCCCCCTAGGACCATTAAAACTGTCAGCCCCAAGCCATGCTTTGACTGAGGATTACGAAATTTGGTACACTAATGTGGTGTCTCAGGACCTACAAAAAAGTCTCCTGGAGCCAAGCGCAAATTCGCACAGGAAGTCGGCCATTTTGGTCCAAGTACGCGATTTAGTGGTTTTTGCACAGGTTGTTTGGAGAGTGATGCTCCATCGCCCTTTTCACCAATCGCCTTCAATCTTCTGCTATATACTCTTAAGAAATAGGGGAAAAAATTCAACAGTCGGATTTTTCAAAAGTTGAAAGGTGTGGGCGTGGCTAAGCCTCAAACTTTGACCTGGCGCCACACCACTCTTTTTTTCACAGCTCCCTACTGGACTCCTTTTACCCAATCAGCAGGAATCTCTGTTAAATAGCAGTAGACAACTTGAGGTCACTTGGTGTCCAGTACTGGCAGGTTTCAAAAAAAGGCGGGGCTTTGGGAGCATGGCGAAAATCGCCATCACGCCATGGAAATACGTTTGCCTCTCTTTTCTTCAGTTATCGTGATATCGCTACGGAACTTCTGGTGAGTGATCCTAGTCTGACCCCCAAGAGAAATAGACAGCTGAAATTTGTGGGCGTGGCCTATTTTCTTAAATAGCGCCCCCTAGAGCCATTAAAACTGTCAGCCCCAAGCCATGCTTTGACTGAGGATTACGAAATTTGGTACACTAATGTGGTGTCTCAGGACCTACAAAAAAGTCTCTTGGAGTAAAGCGCAAAGTTGCACAGGAAGTCGGCCATTTTGGTCCAAAAACTCGATTTAGTGGTTTTCGCACACATTGTTTGGACAGTGATGCTCCATCGTCCTTTTCACCAATCTCCTTCAAACTTCTGCTATATACTCTTAAGACATAGAGGAAAAAATTCAACTGTCGGATTTTTCAAAAGTTGAAAGGTGTGGGCGTGGCTAAGCCTCAAACTTTGACCTGTCGCCACGCCACTCTTATTTTCACAGCTCCCTACTGGACTCCTTTTACCCAATCACCAGGATTCTGTGGCAAACAGCAGTAGACAACTTGAGGTTACTTGGTCTCCAGTACTGGCAGGTTTTGAAAAAAGGCGGGGCTTTGGGAGCATGGCGAAAATCGCCATCACGCCATGGAAATACGTTTGCCTCTCATTTCTTCAGTTATCGTGATATCACTACGAAACTTCTGGTGAGTGATCCTAGTCTGACCCCCAAGAGAAATAACCAGCTGAAGTTTGTGGGCGTGACCTATTCTCTTAAATAGCGCCCCCTACGACCATTAAAACTGTCAGCCCCAAGCCATGCTTTGACTGAGGATTACGAAATTTGGTACACTAATGTAGTGTCTCAGGACCTACAAAAAAGTCTCTTGGAGCCATGTGCAAAGTCACACAGGAAGTCGGCCATTTTGGTCCAAGTACGCGATTTAGTGGTTTTCGCACACGTTGTTTGGAGAGTGATGCTCCGTCGCCCTTTTCACCAATTGCCTTCAAACTTCTGCTATATACTCTTAAGACATAGAGGAAAAAATTCAACAGTCGGATTTTTCAAAAGTTGAAAGGTACGGGCGTGGCTAAGCCTCAAACTTTGACCTGTCGCCACGCCACTCTTTTTTTCACAGCTCCCTACTGGACTCCTTTTACCCAATCAGCAGGAATCTCTGGCTAATAGCAGTAGACAACGTGAGGTCACTTGGTATCCAGTACTGGCAGGTTTCAAAAAAGGGCGGGGCTTTGGGAGCATGGCGAAAATCGCCATCACGCCATGGAAATACCTTTGCCTCTCATTTCTTCAGTTATCGTGATATCGCTACGAAACTTCTGGTGAGTGATCCTAGTCTGACCCCCAAGAGATAAAGACAGCTGAAGTTTGTGGGCGTGGCCTATTTCCTTAAATATGGTAAATGGCCTGTATTTGATATAGCGCCTTCTAGAGTTCTTGAAACCCCCCAAGGCGCTTTACAACACATTCAGTCATTCACCCATTCACACACACATTCACACACTGGTGGGGGTGAGCTACAATGTAGCCACAGCTGCCCTGGGGCGCACTGACAGAGGCGAGGCTGCCGAGCACTGGCGCCACCAGTCCCTCCGACCACCACCAGCAGGCAATGTGGGTTAAGTGTCTTGCCCAAGGACACAGCGACAGACTGAGCGGGGCTCGAACCAGCAACCTTCCGATTACGGGGCGAGCACTTAACTCCTGTGCCACCGTCGATCACTAGATTCATTAAAACTCAGCCCCAAAACACGCTTTGTCCGATTGATGCCAAATGAACAGAAAAACATCTTGTCAACCAAAGCTGACCTCAATGGGATTTTTCTGTAGTTGGTCACAGCACACCCTAGATAACTTTAACCTACAATAACTTCAAAAAACGTGGCCAGAAAAGCATTACAGGTGGTCTGTGTCATCACACCACCCGTGTTGTAAAGATAGAGTTTGCCCTATTGGTGAGACGTGTAATATAATGGTGGGCTCAGAGGGGATGCTGAGTCAGGGTGAGGTGTGGAAGAGGTGATCGTTAGCGGTTTCTGGTGTCGGGGTGGCTGTTGTTTCTGTTCCGCGGACGTGCCCTGGTGCGCCGGGCTGCCGGCCAGGCCGGAGCAGCGCGGAGCTGCGAGGGCGAACGACGCTGCTTGCAGCTTTAATTCCCATTTATATTTTATGTTGCTATAACAAAAACGAAAAGGATATATTTAGTTTATAATTTCTTGAATTTTTTTACTTAATGTGGCAGAGTGAGCATCCTGTCACAGTGTCCCAATTGATCATGCACCCTGGCTACTTGGCCAAGGGGATGTCCCTTTGGCTGACTGGCCAGAGCGTATGACTCTCACCCGGGAGTCTGGGGATCGAATCCCACCCGGGCCCTCGCCTTTCCACCCTGCCACATTAATACTATTTTGAATGCTCTTGCAAAATAAAATGTGCATTTTGATTAAGTGATCTGTGGTTGAAGCTTCTGAGGTAATTCTTAGACTAATACGTGTTTATCACCAACAGAACGCCTGAAGCCAATGCAAAATAGAACCGACTTTTGTTTATTTATGGCCTATTATAAACCTACAAGGTCGATGGAGTGAGGGGTCTTGAATTTGAAGGACATTAAAAGTGTCATGCCAGCTGAAGCGGTGTACCCCTGGAGCAGCAGCACTAAATCTGCTAAAGAATGGACACTGAAAATGGCTTTTTATGAGCGCTGGTGAATTTTGTACACAGCTAAAACTTTCAGCTCAGGAAGAGTTCAGTCGACTCACTATAGTTAGGATGTACTATGACATGGAACTACTTTCAGAGCAAGGCTGACCTAAACAGTTGCGCTTGGTTGGTATATTAGCTTCTCTTTCACGTTTAAAACACGCTGTGTTGTTGGATGCTGCTTGCAGGATCTGCAGACTATTCCATTAAGGCTGTTCCACATCAAAACCTTTTCCTAAGGCTAAACTAGAGCTAACGACAACAATCCCTCGCGTTTTTGCTATTCACATGTTAGTAACACGACAGTAAACAAACCAACGTTACCTCCGAGCAGTGTGGATGAAAGCAGATGAGAAGTTAAACGCTGCATTTAATATTTTCTTACTTTCGTCTTCCATCTATTTCACAGTCGCCATTTTCCGTGGTGGTCTGGTGTGGGACAGATCATTTTGTAAGGGTGTCACACGTCCAGTTAACCCCGCTGCTACAAAACAAACAGCCACCAAAATTACGGTCTAAAATATTGAGGCTCTTTACAAAGATAGCCGCTGTTGACAAGTTACAGGACTAACCTCTTATGAACATTTCGCTACGTATTGTGACGCGGCGGCGCCATGATGCTCCCCTGAAAACCCAGTAATGGTTCATTCCAGATAGGAGGCATAAAATTCAGAGCTAATGACCATTTCTTTTGGCCAGCAGATTTTTTATATGATGGCGGATAATCATCGTTAAAATGAATAACATACAATGAGCGTTAAGATGCAATTTGGTTTGGACATTTCAGATGCAAACAAACAGTTGTTGTCGTTTATAGTTTGTCAGTAAGATGTAGACGGGAATGAGGGGATAAATGTTGATGGAGCCCAGGCTTTGTTGCTTTTGTGACCGGTAATTTTCCTTTTTAACCCCATCTGGCGTTTTTTTTTACCGGGAAAACACGGCCTGTTTAAATACTCTTTAAAATATTTCCTTGAATCAACCTGCTTTAGGCAGTTTTCTATAGCAAGTTGTAGCCAGTGGGCTGTCTGAATTAACACACACTTGTCTGTCAAAATGAGCACTTTAAATAAAGTTATTACAGATTTATGAGGTCAGCAGTCTCGAGCTGTTTGCTTTAGCCAAATTAGCTTAACTATCAAATGTAGTTGGGTAAAGCATTCAACTTAATTTACAGAACAGTGTGTTATAAACTTGCTTATTAGGTAAGTTCACAAAGATAACTTATAAAATAGCTCTGCCGAATTACCATATAGTCAAACTGCTAAAACAGCACGATATTTGTGTTGTTAGCTTTTGGTCACTAGCATAAAGCTATCAAAGCTTGGTAAAAACAATTTGTGAACGATTTTTTATTGAAAACATTTACGTCATAATTTGCCCTCTTTAACCACAAATTTAACAGTTTTTACAGCTTTGTCCTATCAGTCACTTTTCTAAATGTAACACCTGTTTAAAACCTAAAGGTAGGCTGTGCATGCAAACATTAAACAGTGGATATAGTTTAATACATCTAACAGCAACAATTCACCCACTTCCTAATGATGATGTAATTGCTTTGTTGAGAGGGTTGGATTTACACTGAAAGATCATGGGAGATTAATTTAGAATTCACTTTGTTCCTGTAGTCAGATGTTGCTCCACAAGATTCAAGTTGACTGATTTGATTTTGTGCTCTAACTGAGGAGCTTCTCTTAAGAGATGATGGACACAGATGACTGCACTTTGACCCTGGACAGATTGTTTTTCGAGAAACCTACTATTCACAAGGTGTAAGTACAAGCGGTGGAAAAAACATTGTTTTTAAATTCCAATTAAATAAATTTTTCTTGTTTTTCGGTTTCGGTTTTGTTCTCCTTTGAACTGCGTTTTACAGGAAACCTCTGAACCAAGATGTTACTCCATGGCAGCTAGAAGCATCTCCAGCTCTTATGCATGTTCCAGCCACCCAGGAAATGCAAAAGGAGGCAGAGTCTCTTTCTACCCATTTCAGTATGTAGCTCTGAGCTAAGATGAATCTTTCTTAGCTAAGGCCCGGTTCAAAAAACTGTTTGATGAAACATGAGACAACACCTGGGGTGATAAAAAATCACAGATAACCCAGTTTTGGTCCTACAGTGTGTGGTGTGCAGCAACAGCAAAGAAAACACAAGACACATAATTTGATTTCACATACCAACATTCCACGGTCATACAGGAAACCTAGCAAAACCTCTCAAGATCAAGGTATAACAAACATGGTGGCAGAGGAGGAGGATTTGGATTCCTTCTGGTCCATGCAGCGCACTTCATTCTCCTCACTTTCTGGCTTCAATTCAAGTTTATTTATTTAGCGCTAAATCACGACAAGAGTTGTCTCACTTCACAAAGTAAACATTCCAATACAGTTCAGTTCATTAAGCCAATTAGTAAAAAGGGTCCTACAGTCAGGTCCATAAACATTTGGACATCGACACAATGCTAACATTTTTGGCTCTATATACCACCACAATGGATATCAAATGAAACTAACTAGATGTGTCAGCTTGTATTTGAGGGTATTTACATCCAATTCAGATGAACGGTGTAGGAATTACAACAGTTTGCATATGTGCCTCCCACTTGTTAAGGGACCAAAAGTAATGGGACAATTGGCGTCTCAGCTGTTCCTTGACCAGATGTGTGTTTTTCCCTCATTATCCCAATTACAATGAGCAGATAAAAGGTCCAGCGTTCATTTCAAGTGTGCTACTTGCATTGCTGTCAACTGTCACGATGAGATCCAAAGAGCTGTCACTATCAGTGAAGCAAGCCATCATTAGGCTGAAAAAACAAAAGAAACATATCAGAGACATAGCAAAAACATTAGGCGTGGCCTAAACAACAGTTTGGAACATTCTCAAAAAGAAGGAACGCACCGGTGAGCTCAGCAACACCAAAAGACCCGGAAGACCACGGAAAACAACTGTGGTGGATGACTGAAGAATCCTTTCCCTGGTGAAGAAAACACCCTCACAACAGTTGGCCAGATCTAGAACACTCTCCAGGAGGTAGGTGTATCTGTGTCAAAGTCAGCAATCAAGAGAAGACTCCACCAGTGTGAATACAGAGGGTTCACCACAAGATGTAAACCATTGGTGAGCCCCAAAATCAGGAAGGCCAGATTAGAGTTTGCCAAACAACATCTAAAAAAGCCTTCACAGTTCTGGAACAACATCCTACGGACAGATGAGACCAAGATCAACTTGTACCAGAGTGATGGGAAGAGAAGAGTATGGAGACGGAAAGGAACTGCTCATGATCCTAAGCATACCACCTCATCAATGAAGCATGGTGCTGGAAGTGTCATGGCGTGGGCATGTATGGCTGCCAGTGGAACTGGTTCTCTTGTATTTATTGATGATGTGACTGCTGACAAAAGCAGCACGATGAATTCTGAAGTGTTTTGGTCAAATCTGCTCATATTCAGCCAAATGCCTCAGAACTCATTGGACAGTGCAGATGGACAATGACCCAAAGCATACTGTAAAAGCAACCAAAGAGTTTTTGAAGGGAAAGAAGTGGACTGTCTTGCAATGGCCAAGTCAATCACCTGACCTGAATCCGATTGAGCATGCATTTCACTTGCTGAAGACAAAACTGAAGGGAAAACGCCCCAGGAACAAGCAGGAACTGAAGACTGTTGCAGTAGAGGCCTGGCAGAGCATCACCAGGGGTGAAACTCAACGTCTGGTGATGTCTATGTGTTCCAGACTTCAGGCTGTAATTGACTGCAAAGGATTTGCAACCAAGTATTGAAATGTATACGTTTGATTTATGGTTCTTATTCTGTCCCATTACTTTTAGTCCCTTAACAAGTGGGAGGCACATATGCAAACTGTTGTAATTCCTACGCCGTTCACCTGATTTGGATGTAAATATCAGTAAAATGTTTCCTATATAAGGAACCCAGCAGGTTGCATCGAGTCACTGACTAGTGTCAGTGACTATACAGCAATCCTCATACTAAGCAAGCATGCAGTGACAGTGGAGAGGAAAACTCCCTTTTAACAGGAAGAACCCTCCAGAGAATCCTGGCTCAGTATAAGCAGCCATCCTCCACGACTCACTGTCTCACGACTCACAAATGTTATTATCAGGAGAGGGAGAATGTTTAAGTGGTTAGCAGCAGTGTGCTAGCTGATGGCCCCCTCCATGAGGCCACCACAGCTCAGCAGAACATCATTGTAGCTTCTTCTGGGGAGAAAAACACTTAGAGAGAAAATAAAGTTAACAGCTGAAATAAATAAATAAAAATGTTTTAGCCTAGTCTTAAAAGTAGACAAGGTGTCTGCCTCACAGACTAAAGCTGGGAGCTGGTTCCACTAGAAAGGAGCCTGATAACTAAAAGATCTGCCTCCCATCCAATTTTTAGATATCCTGGGAATCACCAGTAAACCTGCAGTCTGAAGCCTGGTTCATGCTTCTCCGTCAGCTCCGCAAGGGACAGACACTCACGGATTGACGGAAGCGTTTTGCTCTCATACTTCTCCGTCTCCTGGGGAGTGTTGCAAAGCAATTCCCCGGCAGGACAACAGAGGGCGTAGCGCTGTTCTTTGGTATCCTGTCATGTATCCGGTCCACGATAGTGTCTTTATATTGTGTTTTTTGTGTATATAAGAGACTTTTTTAATACGGACACATTTGTCTCTCATCCTCCTCCACCTCTTCATGCGCTCCTCACCTCTAAACCCACATTTCCTGTCATTTCCGTCCACAAATAAAACGCTTGCTGCGCATCTTTTCACTCCTCCGGTCACGGGGAATTAAACGTTCATATTTTTAGAGTTGTTTCGCGAGGTATTTTTCAAGTTTCTCCGTGTCTGCCGCTTATTATCCTCGGCTCTCTTTATGTTTTTGAGGGCGCAATGGTGGCGCTGTAGACAACAGCGGCGTCCTGACCAATCACAAGCTTGCGTTGTCCGTCTCGACTGACGGATGTTTAGAAAAGAGAGCTCGACTCCGTTCATCCTTGCGGAGGTCTCCGGCAGGCATGCTAGGACGTTGCGTGTCTCCGCACTGACGCAGACGGAGAAGCATGAATCAGGCTTGAGAGCGAAGAGCTTGTTTAGGAATGTATGGAACAATCAGATCACTGTTGTATGATGAAGCTTGATTATTAAGAGCTTTATATGTGAGAAGAAGGATCTTAAAATCTATTCTGAATTTAACAGGTAGCCGATGTAGGGAAGCTAAGACAGGAGAGATATGATCTCTCTTTTTAATTCTCATCAGGACTCTAGCTGCAGCGTTTTGGACAAGCATTATGTGTGTCTTTGTGGTCAGGATGCAGGTTTTTACAGTGGTGTTTTGTAGTACCGATGGAGGTTTAAAGCAGTCATCTGTGACATGAAGGTCACACTCTCAACTGCAGCATGAAATCAACCACTCTATGCTCGCAACTCGGAGAAGGTGGGCATTAGTGACCTACTTCTCGGGGAGGCGGGTTTCAGATCAGAGACCGGCTTCAGATGGAGGAGAAATGCTTGATGACACACTTTGTTCTGGACGCAGTCATGAAGTCAGGAAGAAAACGCATTAATGCAGCCCAAAAATAGTTTGGGGGTATTTTTCATGAGGAAATATTATTACATGGTAAAAGCTCAAAAAAGTCGCATTTTCAAAATATGGAACCTTGAAATGTATGTAAAGTATGATTTTAATACATTTCCAATCTTTAATTTGTTGAGCTGAATTTTAGGCTTAAGTTAGGTGTAAACAACCATCCCCAACAGTTTTTAATTGTAATCTTATTCAGGCAGTCAAGCACTACAAAAATCTTTTATAAAGTTGACGATTATTTCATTTTTATTTTATTTGCAGGTTTCACACAGAAACTCCAGATGTTTAGTCCTCCTTTAAAGAAGCTACATGGCCTAAAGGACTCATCTGAGATCAGTTTGTGCGGTTTAAACAACGAGGAGAGAGAGGCTGATGAAACCCACGGTGGTACCAGTGGATGTGAAGGTCTTTACAGGGGTGAAGGGTTTACGGATTACTTTGAGGGTAGCCATCAGAGTAACAGGACTGTAGAAGAATCCCTGCTGGACTCCGGCCATGTGACCAGCAACAGATGGCTGTCTCAGGATCACAGAAAAAGTCCTCCTTTACGAAGAAGGTAAGTGTCACAAGTTTGTAGTGAGGACACAAATGAAATAGCACTTGTGTTTAGTTTGACGTTTTCATTTGTTGTGTCTTTATGACTGAAAAAGGTAAATGGCCTGTTTAAAAATCTGCTCTTGGGACAGGAACTGTGTTTGACTGCAGATGTGGCTGAAAAATTAGGGTCAGATTAGAGTTTTTCTCCCCAGCAGTCAGACATAGTCCATCAGTTAGGCATGCTTTAGAAGGTCCTCTCTGAAGAGCAGGGTCTTCAGGAGTTTCTTGAAAATTGAAAAGGAAGCCGCTGTTCTGGTAGTGCTTGCAAGGTCATTCCACATTTGTGGAACGATGCATGAGAAGAGTCTGGATTGTCCTGAGCGTGGTGTAGGCACTGCTAGCCGACCATCCTGTGATGACCGGAGCGGCCGGGCCCAGACGTAAGCCTTTGCAAGAGGATTCAGGTAGATGGGAGCCGTACCATCTCGGACTTTGTATGCTAGTGTTAGCAATTTGAATTTGATGCGTGCTGCTAGCGGTAGCCAGTGGAGCTCAATGAACAGAGGGGTGACGTGTGCTCTTTTTGGCTGGTTGAAGACCAGATGCGCTGCTGCATTCTGGACCATTTGAAGAGGTCTCACAGTACAGCCTGGAAGACCAGTTAGAAGGGCATTGCAGTAATCGAGGCGGGAGATGACAGTAGATTGCACCAGGAGCTGGGTGGCATGTTGTGTTAGGTATGGTCTGATCTTTCGTTTGTTATACAGCGCAAAGCGGCATGAACGAGCAACAGAGGCAACGTGATCTTTAAAGGTCAGGTGTTCATCAATCACAACACCCAGATTTCGAACTGCCTTTGAAGGAGCCAGAGATAGGAAGTCATTTTGGATTGAGCTATCGTGCTGTATGGATGGTTTTGCTGGGATGACAAGTAGTTCAGTTTTAGAGAGGTTGAGTTGGAGATTAGGGCTGTCGCGGTTGAGGAATTCCCCCTGCGGTGATTCAGGGTGGCTTAATATTGCAGTGTGCGATATTATTGCAGCCCTTTTTTATTGCAGTACTATCTAAACATAATGTTTACACATTTAAAAAAGGTTAAAAATTGCCGTGCCTTCTTCAATAACACTTTACTGAATGCAGATCAAAGGGCAGTAACAACACAGATCGCAGTAACGTTTGTTTCTCCGACAGTCGGAGTCCGACTGAACTTAAAAACAACAAAATTCAGGAGAAAAACTTTTAAATGCAAATTTGGCTGCAGCATCTAACAAATAAGAAACAAGTCCCCATTTTGTTTAGTTGTTTAAAATCAAGCATAAAAAATTACATGTACCGGGCGCAGGGCACTATCATTTCACTTTCACACACACGAATGACGGTGATTTATAGCTCGGTCACGTCCTTGTTACCCACAAGGAAAACCAGCATGTTAACTATGGTTTGAGAGAGGATCTGAGAGGGGGGGCAACATTTGCAGCAACACTGAAAACCCTCTCGGATGGTGCGCTCGTTGCACTAACACACACGTACTTGCGTGCGACTCTGGCGAGCAAAGGGAATCTCTCCCGGTTGTTGCTCCACCATGTCAGGGGGGTTTCTTTAGGGTGGATGCGTTCCTCCTGCAGGTAGCGAGTGAGCTCCAGCTCGGCTCAAACTCTCTTCGGGACGGCTGCAGAAGCAGTGCTTGTCCGGGACTTCAGCAGGTCTCCGAGCGTTTATTATTATTTTTTTGCCGCTGGTGGCAGCTCTGTCTCGGCCAAGGACTCTGGCTGCGCAGCAGCTGACGTACTGAAAACCAAAGTGCTCCCAAAGGAGCGAAGTAACGTTTCGTTTTGATACCAGTGCAGCCATCCTTCTCAACATGCATCATTGAGTTGAACCAAGTTCAGTAATCGCGGTGGCCCATGATGCAGCGCGGTGGGCTTCTTCATATCGCGATATTTCATTTTTGCGGTTACCGCGACAGCCCTATTGGAGATGGTGGGATTTCATCCATTTTGATATGTCAGAGAGACAGTTTGGTATTTGTGCAGAGACAGTGTGGTCGTCCGGTGGAAATGACAGATAGAGCTGGGTGTCGTCTGCATAGCAGTGGTAGGAGAAGCCATGTGATCGAATGATCTCACCCAGTGAGGTGGTGTATATGGCAAAGAGAAGAGGTCCTAGTACTGAGCCCTGGGGGACTCCTTTGGCAAGATGGTACACGGTAGAGGATTGTCCAAGCCAAGATACACTGAATGATCGTCCTGTGAGGTATGATTCAAACCGGGCGTGTGATTTCTCTGTGATGCCCATGCTAGAGAGTGTGGACAAAAGGAAGCCATGGTTGACAGTGTCAAATGCAGCCGATATGTCGAGCAGGATAAGCACTGAGGATTTTCCTGTTGCTCTAGCTTCTTTTAAGGATTCAGTCACTGCTAACAGAGCAGTTTCAGTGGAGTGGCCCTTTTTGAACCCAGACTGGTAAGGGTCAAGCAGACAGTTTTGTGAGAGGTATTCTGTGATCTGCTTGAAAGCCACCCTTTCAATGATTTTGGACAGAAAAGGGAGGAGAGAGATAGGTCGGTAGTTCTCCACATGATTTGGAGGAAGAGGTGTTTTTTTTTAGCAGCGGTTTAACCTGAGCATGCTTGAGAGGTGGGAAATGTACCGGATGTCAGTGAAGCGTTGATCACATGAGTGACTGCTGCGGCTACTGTAGGAGCAAGAGCTTGGAGCAGCTTAGTCGGAATGGGGTCCAGTGGGCATGTAGTAGGGCAGCTGCACGTGAGAAGCTTGGACACACAGTTCTCAGTGAGAGGGGAAAAAGAGGAAAATGAAGCAGTAGGGCCTGAGATGGTTGGGCTAGAAGGGGTTTGTGGTAGCAAATGTTCAGGAGTGGCCAGTTGAGTAAACTGTTTGCTTATAGCTGCCACTTTGTCAGTGAAGTATGAGGCAAAGGTGTCAGCTGATAGATTGTTGGTAGGAGGTGGAGACGGAGGGTTGAGCAGAGTTTTGAATGTTGAAAATAGTTTCTGAGAGTCAGCAGAGCTGAGAATTTGGTCAGTGTAGAAAGCTTTCTTTGCATCAGTGATGCTGGCAGAGAACGAGGACAGTAATTCATGAAATTTCAATAGATCACCAGGATCTTTTGTTTTGCGCCATTTCCGTTCCACAGCTCTAAGATTGGTGCGTAGAGACCGGAGGGTATCATTTAGCCAAGGGTGCGACTGAGAGGATCTAGCAGGTCTAGTGGCTAAAGGGCACAAGTTGTTAAGACAAGAGCAGAGTGTGGAGCAGAGTGACTCGGTGGCTTCATTCGCTTCATAAGCAGAGATTGTGCTGGGAGATGGAAGAGTGGAGGCAACAAAAGAGGAGAAGTGGTTGGGTGCCAGATTACGGAGGTTGCGGCAGAATGAGACCATTGGGGAGGAAGCAGTGGACCTCCCTTGTAGAGTCGAGCTTAAATGGATGAAGAAATGATCGGAAAGATGCAGCGGTGTGACAGAGATTGTGTCTATGGCACAGTTTCTGGTGAAAATGAGGTCGAGTGCTTTTCCAGCTTTGAGAGTTGGAGGACTTTGTACTAGTTTTAGATCAAATGATGACATTAGTGACAGGAAGCCTGATGAGCTGGGATTGTCCAGGTGAATATTCATGTCTCCAAGGACCATTGTGGGACAGTCGTGCTCAGGAATGGAGGAGAGCAGGGTGTCGAGTTCATCAAGAAAGTCTCCGAGTTGACCTGGTTGGCGATATATGACAACCAAAAATAATTTTTTTGGTACAGTTACCTGGATGGCATGGTATTCAAAGGAGTTGTATTTAGTGATGAGTAGCAACTGACTGTATATCCATTTGTTGGAAATTAACATGCCCGTTCCACCACCTCGGCCAGATGCACGTGAAGTGTGGGAGAAAGTGTGGTTACTTGAGAGAGCAGATGGGGTAGCATTGTCACATGGTTTGATCCAGGCCTCAGTGACTACGTTTACATGCAGACAATATCCGGGTTATGATCGGGTTAAGGTCGGTATTCGGGTTTCTGAGTTGATCAGAATAACCCGTTTACAAGCATAAATAGAAAGAGTTACCCCTAACTTGCATAACCCGATTTAAATGCGGATGTTGGGGTAGCGTCAGGACCTAAGGACTACGTCCAGACGCAATATACATCATTTCCGGTTCTTCTTGTTCCGGTATCCGTGAAAAACACAACATGTTTCCCAGTTCGGAAGAGATAGCGGCCGCGTTTGTTTGCGCTTTAGTTTCCTCATCACTCCAAAAGTGTGGTGCTGTGCCGTGACTCGCCATGTTGCTCCCAACTTGTTGTTTACTTCCGGAGTTCTGGCGCATTCAAGACGCCTCGCTACTCAAAAGACCAAGATTCCTTGCGAACAGAGCATGCGCAGAACACACGCTTTGATGGGGATATCCCGGTATGCGTTTACACGACCAAACATTCGGGTTAGAAAAGGGTTACCCCAGGTGTAGTAACCGGGTTTTTAAAAACCCGGTTATGAGCATATCCAGGTTTTTGGCGGTGTTTACATGGACCTGCGGAACCGGGTTATTGTGAATATTCGGGTTTTAAAAGGGTTACTGGCTGCATGTAAACGCACTCAGTGAGAGCCAGTGCATCCAGTGACAGGTGGTTTGCATATGCGGTAATGAAGTCAGCTTTGTTTACAGCTGATTGGCAGTTCCAAAGTCCCATAGACAGGTGGATGTCTTCGGGGGGAGTTGGTTTTAGCGAGCGGAGGTTTTGAAGGTTGCGAAAGCGGTTTGCTGTGTGTGACCTTCCTCTGAAGCCAGTGATCACAGGAATAGGATAATGGCACATTTTGCAAGGTGTCCATGGAGCAGCGTGATGCCTTCTACTCTTTGGTAAAGGTTCAACAAAGAACTTTTCTCTCCTGGTTTCACTTTTCACTTTTCTTCATCTCCTTTAACAACAGCTTGTTCAATATTCCACGTTTGGACATCAGAGGCGACTTGTCAACCAAAACCGACTCCAACAGACTCAGTAGCAGCCATACAATGTCCAGACTTCAAACTTTTTGCAGTCGGGTTGCCATGACAACTGGATCTCCTGCTCTTCAGCCACCACAAGCAGCAGTTGGCCTTGTAGCTCCTTTTTCCCCTGAGCCACCTCCTCTGGACCCTTGTGCAGCGAGCAGCCGGCCCTCCCAGCCAGCAGGACTGCAGGATAGGGGCACAAAAAGAGCCTTGGTTCCACCCATGATGCCCCAGCCGCTCCACATACAAGGTTCTGCACAACACTGGCGCTGTCAGAAACAGGCACTGAGTTACTCAGTAGCATAACATACAGGTTGTGGAAAGCTGCACAGTGTTTGAGTATGACCTTTGCCAACCACAGCATCAGCTGCCACAATGCGCTAGGGTTTAATGAGGTGAGCTGAGCCTGATGACTGCATCACTGTCGTAGGAAACTGGTCACTGAAGGTGATCAGCCACTGGTGCCAACCACAGATCTGACTTTTACTTTATAGAGGTTTAAGCTCCACATTTTGCCAACGATTTATAAAAAATTAACCTCAAAATGAAAGATAAAAAACGTGACAAAAGAAAACGTTTCATTTGTTCTCATTTTAGGATCTTCTGGACCTGGAGTCCTGCGACCGGTGTCGGAACTTCGTATCCTTTTTATTCTTGTGCTGATGGGCCACGAACATAAATAATAACTAAATGATCTAAGATAACCTGGAAGTTCAAGCCAAAACAAAAATGGCTGTTTCCCAGTGGCGGGCTGCAGAAAATGTTTTTGTAAACCGTCGGGACCTTTTCCCGACTGAACAAGAAAGAAATCCTCTGGCAACATTTTCCTGGATTCTTCTTTTTTAATACTTTCAGCTGTTATTATTCAGTTTTCTGATGAGTTTATTTATCAGCTGTGGGGCTTTGAGCCAGACGTCTCTAGTTAAAGACATGCAACATGGCTTTGGCCATGCTTCCAGATGAAGGCTGAGACACATTGATGTTGATGAGATGAACACAATTTAGTACAGCCATATTGTGTCTGAATGGTGCCGGGAGACCTGAGATAAGGCTTTTGGACTTGGATTTCCTAAAACACACCACACAGCTGTAAAGTTCAGGTCCATCTTCAGTGACTTCCCCTTCTTCAACTACGTTCAGTCCAAAGCTCTAGATGATGTAAGATCATTATGCCACAGACACAGTGCTAAAGAAGATGAGGTTCTTACCTTGAAAACACTTGAAGCTTTAGGGTTAGGGTTATTAGCTAGTGTTAGAAAGTGCTTTAACTAGAGCTGCAACCAAAACCCAGCTGGTAATTGGTAGGGGCCCAGTATTCAGCTTGGTAAGTGAGTTACTAATCTGAGACTCAAATGGGTTTTTTGTTGGTGAATGCTTTACAGAACACCAATACTTAATCACGTTTCTCTGTCAGTAAAGTCACCAAGTTCAGAAAGCTGGTATAAAAGTCAGGAATGGCTATTGGCCCTCCAAGTGAAGCTCAGTGATGTTTAGTTTTATGAAACAGGGATGGGAAGTCATAGTTTTGTTAATATGAGTAAATGATCTCCAGTGTGAGGTGTTGAGAGGTCTTCACATTGAAAGTGCTTGAAAAGTCATTGAATATATTATTTATTTCAACCTTTATTTTACCGGGTAAAATGTTTGAGAACATGTTCTCATTTACAAACATGACCTGGCCAAGAGGTCTTGGAAGGAAGTGCAAAAATAATAAAATGAATAATAATAAAATAAATACAACAACAACAACAACAACAAAGTAAACAGATAAGCACATAACAGATCAGACATAATAGGTTATCAACAGGCAATAGAAAGTTTTGAATCTAGGTCTGAAAATTAAGAGAACATATACACATGCATGCAGGAGTAAGAACCCTGGTATGTCCATCATCCTTTTGATTTGATTTGATGTGTTAAACCAGTGATTTTGATTTGCTTGCAGGTGCTTTACACCAACAGGAACTTTGTTGCCTGTGCTCCGACAGGATCAGGTAAAACCGTGCTGTTTGAGCTGGCCATTATTCGTCTGTTGATGGAGACACCAGAGCCATGGAGAGATGTCAAGGCTGTATATAGTGAGCAATGGAGTACTGATGAAGTCTCAACCGCAGAAACTTGATCTGAGATCATTTAGATCCTGTAGAGTTGGGACTCAGATTACAGGTTCATGGCATTTCTTCTGAACAGACTTATTGTTTGCATCATCAGTGGCTCCCATCAAGGCGCTGTGCAGTCAGTGCTCTGAGAACTGGAAGAAGAAATTTGGTCCTTTGGGGCTGAGCTGCAAAGAACTGACTGGTGACACAGAGATTGACGACTTCTTTGAGATTCAAGACTCCCAAATCATCTTGACCACTCCTGTGTGTGTCACTGATGTGCAGCTGAGTCAAGCATGCTCAACAAATCTATAAACATATTCAAATTTTCATGACAGTTATTATAACACGTTTATCATTAAACTTCTATGTTTTACACATCCGTTTAGGAAAAATGGGACAGCATGACCAGGAAATGGAAGGATAACTGCTTGCTTCAGCTCGTCAAACTCTTCCTCATTGATGAGGTGAGTTTATTTGTCAAGAGTCAAGAGTCAAAGTCATTTATTGTCATATTCTCCACATGTGCAGGACATACAGAGAAATGAAATTCAGTTTCAGCACACACAATTCAAAGATCAGACATACGTGGGTAAGACACATAACAAGAATTGGTGACTGCGGTCATTCGCAACATGAGTCGCGCTACCTTAATAGTTAGATGAAAAGGGAGTTACATGAGGAAAGTTCAGGGAGGGGAAAAAAAGGCATTAACAGGGTTACACCAGCAGGGTGTAGCACTCCAATGCAAAAAAACACCCGACATGGAAGCACAGACAGCACGTGTACAACATCAGAGTCCAATGGGGAGGTGGGGGTGGGCGGGATCCTGAAGCCTCCAATGGGAGCTGCCACTGCGGCGCATCGACCAGCTGCAGAACAACAGGTGGGAGGGAGAGATAAGGAACAGAGAGCACATTGAGGTCCCTGCAGATATAGCCTGAAGGGAGAGGGTGAAGGTCGGGACACAGCATCTGTCGGCATTCCTCCTTTTGTGGGGGTGTGTTGAGGCAGCCTTGAGAGGCTGCTATGGCGTCAGATAAGGATAAACATAACTTTGTTTAGGGTAGACAGAGATAATCTTCCCCTCCGTCTTGTAGTCTCTAAGTGGTCATTCATGTCCACCAGTGAAGCCAATTTTACATTCCACATCCCCGCATCGTCCGGCGACCCTCTCCGAGATCAAATCCATCTTGCGCACTAACACAGGCAACGCCGCAAGGACATTGTCCAGCTTACGGTTCACCTCGAGTAACGTCCCAGTCTGTGAGGTCACCGCACGAGCGGCACATTCCGTGGGTGCGGGTCGCACTCCAATCGCTCCCGTCTTCCCAAATTTCCAGAAAACCAGATATCCTCCCACTCCAATCAGAAGAAATCCAGTGATCATCAGGCCGAATATCCACAAATCTTCCACGTCCTCGATGGACAGCTGAGAGAGGCACACGATTCGCCAGACCTCCCAAGAATCGAGTGCATATCCCGATGCGAATGTCCCCTCGGGACAGGTGGGAGCCCCCTTCTCCGTTCTCATCGTAGAGAAAATTTTGTCAATCACGTTGAATGACCAATTAATTAAGTCCATATTTCCAAAAAGAGAGTAGTGGTTTCAGGAGAAATGCAGAGAAGTGCTCTGTAGGCAGACAGGACAAGAGCCTTGGGGAAGCCGATAAGGGAGCTGAGAAAAAAGCGTCTGTACTCTCTGAAGGCTGAAGAAGAAGAGGTCAAAGGTTTTACTGAAAACATCACTAAATGAGAGTAGTTTTGTAAAGGGTTTAATTTACATTTTTAATGACCCATATGACATGAGATTCCATAATAAATATGAAATCAATCTTATGGATCTTTGGGTACTTTTAACCAGAAGATTGGAACTTTTTATTGCAGGGATTATGTAACACTTCGTATTAACTCAGAGACAAAAGAAAGAGAGTCAAGTTTTCAATCTTAGCATTATTCCAAAGGTGGAAAAAGGAAATCCTACAAACCTGATTAACCTGGGATTTGAATGACATGTCCTGGTCAAAGATAACACCAAGGTTCCTTACTTTGTTCTCAGAGACTAATTTAATGCCATTAAGGTCAGGTGATTGACTAAGCAATTTCCTTTTCTGAATTTCAGGTCCAAAGATGAGAACTTCTGTCTTGTTTTGATTTAAAAGCAGAAAGTTTAGAGTCCTCCAATTATTTATGTCTTCAAGACAAGCCTGTAATCTACCCAACCGATTAGGTTCATCAGGGTTAATGGATAAATATAACTGAGTATCATCAGCATAACAGTGGAAGTTTATCCCATGCTGTCTAATGATTTTACCAATTGGGAGCATATATATAGTAAAAAGAATTTTTCCAAGCACTGAACCCTGTGGTACTCCACAAGTAACCCTGGAGTATGAAGACGATTTGTCATGTACATTTACAAAATGAAATCTGTCAGACAGGTAGGATTTAAACCAGCCTAGCGCTGTTCCTTTGATCCCTACAACATGTTCAAGTCTTTCTAAAAGAACATTGTGATCAACTGTGTCAAAGGCAGCACTGAGATCTAACAAGACTAGAACAGTCACAAGATTCTTATCTGAGGCCATGAGAATATCATTTGTAACTCTCACTAATGCAGTTTCAGTGCTGTGATACTCTCTAAAACCAGACTGAAATTCCTCAAACAGAGCATTAGTGTTTAAATGCTCACATACTTGGATGGCCACTATTTTCTCAAGGGCTTGGCAGTTCTAGTTTGTCGAAGCTTATTTTTATAAAGCACAAGACTATATTTCCAGGATAGGTAGGCCTCCTCATGGTGCGTAGAGCACCATGTTCTCTCCAATTTCCTAGAGTTTTGTTTTAAGGCTCGTAAATGAGAATTAAACCAGTGAGCCAACTTCCTGTCCCTAATTACCTTCTTTTTTAAAGGGGCAACATCATCTAATGCCACACGTAAAGAGGAATTCACATGATGAACTAAGGCATCAATTTGTGAGGGGCTAGAACTGAAAATATTGCCCTCTGAGACGTTCCTCTGAGATGCTGAGGACAGTAAAGATGGAACAGTTGATTTAAAAGATGCAACTGCGTTGTCAGATAGAGACCGACTATAGTGAAATTTACTTTCATGTCTCGAGAACTCAGTTATAAAAAACTCAAAGGTTATCAGAAAGTGGTCCGAGAGGACTGGATTATGTGGAAAGATTGTTATTTCCTCACACTCAATGCCATAAGTCAGCACAAGGTCCAATGTATGATGGCAGGAGTGGGTGGAGCTATGTATTCTTTGAGTAAAACCAATTGAGTCTAAGATATTACTAAAGGCTCCATTGAGGCTATCATTTTCAATGTCCACATGAATATTAAAATCCCCCACTACAATGACCTTATCAGTATTTAGCACCAAATCAGATAAAAAATCAGAGATCTGATCCAAAAACTCAGAGTAAGGGCCTGGTGGACGATATAAAACTACAAACAAGAGTGGTTTTACAGTTTTGCAATCTGGATTAGGAAAACTAAGAATAAGATGTTCGAACGAACTGTAGCTATTAATTGGTAAATTAATTGGTGAATGATCCCTCTGAAGTCATGATCCCCCTGTTCCCTCTTTAGTTAGGAAGGATAAATGGTAAATGGCCTGTATTTGTACATCACTTTCTTAGGGTTCTAAGGCGCTTCACAATCATCCAACCACTCATACACACATCCACATGCAGGTAATGATGAGGTACGATGTAGCCGCAGCTGTCCTGGGGTACACTGATGGAAGCGAGACTGCTGTGCACATGTGCCAGTGGTCCCTCCGGTCACCACCAGCAGGCAAGGTGGGTTAAGTGTCTTGCCCAAGGGCACAACAGCGGCATTCTCTGGTGGGAGCCGGGATCAAACCTACAACCTTTCAGTTGCGTGACAACTCGCTCTACCTCCTGAGCTACTGCTGTCCCAACGTTGCAAAGTAAACAGTCAGTGGTAGTCGCATTGTTGTTAGCCAATCAGAGGTGAGATGTCCAAATATCAGGAAGTTAAGCCTCATTTTAACTTCTGTCTGCATTTGGACGGAGACATGCAACGCCATTATGCGTTGACGCAAGAGCCCTCCGACATGCTCGCAGAGGAAGATGGAGACATGCTCCAATTTTTAACTATCCGTCAAAAGAGCTGGAGAACGCAGGCTTGTGATTGGTCAGGACGCTGCTTCCTGAAAATCTGCAACAGCACCACCTTTGCCTCCTCAAAAACGTAGCGGCAGATACGGAACAGATTGAAGAACGCATTGCATAAAAAGTCTGAAAATATGAACATTTATTCACCCCTGGCTGAAGGAGTACAAACGTATGCAGCAAGAGTTTTATTTGTGGATGGAAACGACGAGAAACGTGGGTTTAGAGGTACCGATCGCATGAATAGGTGGAGGGGAATGAGGAACATATTTGTCAGTGGCAAAAGGTCTCTGAGCTACATTAAAACTATGTAAACAATAGTAAATACACTATCATGTACCGGATACATGACTGTAATGGTGGCAGGATACCTCAGAGTGGCGCTACGCCCTCTGTTGCCCTGGTGGGGAATTGTTTTGCAACAGTCTCCAGCTGATGGAGAAGTCTGAAAGCAAAAGGTCTCTGACAATGCGTGCACGTCTCCGTCGCAGAGCTGACGGAGAAGTACAAATTAGTCTTTAGACTTCAAATCCTGCCGTCTGCAGATCTCCTCTGATCTGGCAATCTTCTAAATCCTAAAACAGGCGCACCAGGGACTTTTGAGTACAACTTAAAAGGCATTCATTTCTACTAGAGATCACTACAAATGTATTTAGATTAAACGAGTGAACCACATTTTAAATGAGCCCACAGAACCATCCTGTTAATAGCTCACCCTCATTTGTAATGAATGTGGAATTATAAAATGTTTTGTTTTCCAGGTGCATGTGGTGAAAGATGCAACTCGTGGTGCCACACTGGAAGTGGTGGTGAGCAGAATGAAGGCGGTGAATGCCTACAGAGCATCCCAGAATCCAGAGGCAGGCCTCTCCATGAGATTTGTAGCTGTATCAGCCACCATCCCCAACATATCTGATGTAAGATTCTGTTCCATCTGTGAGCTCGGTTTCTGTGGTGTAAATCAGTGGTTCCCAACCTTTTTTCCTTGACGACCCCCTTTGCTTGTGTCCCAACAAAAGCCAAGGGCCCACTAACTAGGGCTGGGCAACATGGCCTCCAATCACTATCATGATATACACTCACCTAAAGGATTATTAGGAACACCTGCCCAACATCTCCTTAATGCAATTATCTAATCAACCAATCACAAGGCAGTTGCTTCAATGCATTTAGGGGCGTGGTCCTGGTCAAGACCATCTCCTGAACTCCAAACTGAAGGTCAGAAGGTGAAAGAAAGGTGATTTAAGCTATTTTGAGCGTGGCATGGTTGTTGGTGCCAGACGGGCCGGTCTCAGTATTTCACAATCTGCTCAGTTACTGGGATTTTCACCCACAACCATTTCTAGGGTTTACAAAGAATGGTGTGAAAAGGGAAAAACGTCCAGTATGCAGCAGTCCTGTGGGCCAAATGCCTTGTTGATGCTAGAGGTCAGAGGAGAACGGGCCGACTGATCCAAGCTGATAGAAGAGCAACTTTGACTGAAATAACCACTCGTTACAACCGAGGAATGCAGCAAAGCATTTGTGAAGCCACAACACGCACAACCTTGAGGCGGATGGGCTACAACAGCAGAAGACCCCACCAGGTACCACTCATCTCCACTACAAACAGGAAAAAGAGGCTACAATTTGCACCAGCTCACCAAAACTGGACAGTTGAAGACTGGAAAAATGCTGCCGGGTCTGATGAGTCTCCATTTCTGTTGAGACGTTCAGATGGTAGAGTCAGAATTTGGCGTAAACAGAATGAGAACATGGATCCATCATGCCTTGTTACCACTGTGCAGGCTGCTGCTGGTGGTGTCATGGTATGGGGGATGTTTTCTTGGCACACTTTAGGCCCCTTAGTGCCAATCGGGCATGGTTTAAATGCCACGAGCTACCTGAGCATTGTTTCTGACCATGTCCATCCCTTCATGACCACCATGTACCCGTCCTCTGATGGCTACTTCCAGCAGGATAATGCACCATGCCATAAAGCTCCAGTCATTTCAAATTGGTTTCTTGAACATGACGATGGGTTCACTGTACAACAACGGCCCCCACGTTCACCAGATCTCACCCCGATAGAGATCTTTGGGATGTGGTGGAACGGGAGCTTCGGGCCCTGGATGTGCATCCCACACATCTCCATCAACTGCAAGATGCGATCCTGTCAATATGGCCGACATTTCTAAAGAATGCTTTCAGCACCTTGTTGGATCAACGCCACGTAGAATTAAGGCAGTTCTGAAGGTGAAAGAGGTCCAACACCGTATTAGTGCGGTGTTCCTGATAATCCTTTAGTTGAGTGTAGTGAGCAGTTCATCTCAATAACAGTAAACTGATGATAATTACTTGTACAGCAGAAGTTAGCGCTAGCCGTGTCGATGGTAGATTTCGTCAAGGAGAAGCTTGTTCCCACAAAATCCTTCAACAACCATTTGGCAACATTTTGGATTTAGTTGCTGCCAATCATCTTCCATTTCCTCACTATTATGTGACTCCACCCCTTCAGTTGGTAGTACACATCTTAAATCAACATGAACATTGGCAACCCACATACATCTTTTTTCAAACACCTATTGTGTCGATACATTGGTCCATCCATCCATCCATTTTTGGCCGTTTATCCGGAGTCAGGAGGCGCACACTTCCCTCCCCTTCCCTCTCCCCAGCCACTTGGGCCAGCTCCTCCAGGAGAATCCTCAGGCGTTCCCTGGCCAGCCGTGAGACATAGTCCCTCCAGCGTGTCCCGGGTATGACGCTGGTATTTTACACACAGACCCCAGGTTGGGAACCACTGGTGTAAATCAGTAACATGTGGCTGACTCTAGAACTTGTTGCTTTAGCTAGCAGACTGGCTGTCAAATGAGAGCGGGCCGGCTACCTATCTGAGTATGGATGAGAACCACCGTCCTGTGAAGCTTCGGAAGGTGGTGCTGGGATTCCCCTGCAGCCCAAACCAAACAGAGTTCAAGTTTGACTTGTCACTCAACTACAAGATGGCGAACATCATACAGACTTACTCCGATCAGAAGCCGACACTGGTGGTGGGTGGAAGGATGCTGTTAACGTTACTGCTTTACCATTTATGGTAAATGATAAATGACCCGCACTTGTATCGCGCCTCTCAGAGTCAGGACTCCAAAGCGCTTTACACTACAGTGTATCATTCATCCATTCACACACACACATTCACACACTGATGGTGATGAGCTACGATGTAGCCACAGCTGCCCTGGGGCGCACTGACAGAGGCGAGGCTGCCGAGCACAGGCGCCACCGGTCCCTCCGACCACCACCAGCAGGCAAGGTGGGTTAAGTGTCTTGCCCAAGGACACAACAGCAGAATTCTCTGTCCGGAGCCGGGATCGAACCTGCAACCTTCTGATTACTGGACAACCCGCTCGACCTGTTGAGCTACTGTTGCTACTTTATGGAGAAAAAAACATTTCAAAATGCTAATTCAGAAAAGAGGAAGAACAAAAATCAAACTTATTTTCTCTGACTTGTTTGAACACAGTAAGCAAATTACAATATGAATTCAAAAATATATAAATTTAGTTTTTTTTATTAATTGAAAGTGTGATTATTATTTATGCATCCACATTTAGTTCCCATTGAATCCTTTAAATTCAGAAATATTAATAAAAGTTCTAGTTTTTAAAAAGTATACATGTATTGTTCATTTTATTATGTAATTCTATAAAGATGTAACAGTAATAGACACTAGAAAATATCTGACGAAATTTTGAAAGAGGCCTGCCATCTGGCACAAGACGTTAGCCATGTGTCATTAGCCAAAATAGGAATTAAGTAGGGCTGAAACAAATCATTGAATGGTTCGATTCATTAAATTCCTCGATTCATTTTTTACTGATTCAAAGCTTCCTTAAATGTGCGTATCACAGTCTGACCACTGGCGCACAACGTGGTGATCTGGGTGCTGTGGAGGGAAATAGAGAAACCAGCAATCCATTGTAAAAGGCAGAAACGGCCCAAAGTTTGCGCTCAAGAGTTAAATTACGTGCAACATTGCTAATGCTAAGCTAGCACGCTCACGATCAAGTGGGTTTCAGAAAAAACACGATGGTTGTGAATTCCTAAACTCTACGAGCGGAAAAATTTCCTCTCCGTCCTGTTTATTCTTGGATGTCTTCAGCTGCAGCGGTATGGAGCAGAACCGCAGCACCTACCTGTAGGTTGTTGCTGCTGAGATTCAGCCACAGCCTATATGGCAAGCTGTTGTAGCATGTAAGTTCTCTCTTTGAATACAATTTAGACTGGATTATGTTGCCAACCCGTACATAATAAAATAGATATGCCATCATTACATCGGTGCTAGTATAAATTAAATGTTATTAGCATTTCCAGTAGCTTACTACTGAACATGTTAATGAGAAATTAAAGTATACTGATTTTGGCTATATTTAGATGTGTTATTTTGACTAGGATGAGTGATATTAATACATACCTAAAATGTTACTGAAATGTAAGTCAGATTGTGTTCCCTAAAATATAACTATAAATAAAATAGCACCAATTTAATACATTATGTTGACCCATTTATAATTTTGTTGTTTTATGTTCATACTTTAGCAACAGACCACTGTCTCGTGTCACTTGATACGTCGTCAAATAGAATGTTCAAACATTCGATAGCTGCAGCCTAATGGTCTCGACACACGGGAGGCGACAAACGACCGCGATCAGCGAAATTTGTCGCTGTCGCTTTTATTACCTGTCACACAGGAGGCGATCCGCGGCAGCGGCCAGCGGCAAAGCCATCTACGCGTTCTGTTCCATGGCGAAATCAAAATTTCCGTTGTTTTGTTTGGCTGTGTCAGGTTGGAGGGAATTAAGGTTATTTAAGCGGTTCAGAGTTAAAAAAGTGGTAGATATAATGTTCACAAGGTGCTGCTAGAGTTATGTGAAATCTTACTTCTGATTTTACTATAAAACATAATAATAATCAACTTCTCCTCCATGTTTGCTCGGAGGTGTACGGAGCATCCTGTCCGCTCATTGGTCAGTGAATGAAACCTCCGCTGATTGGTCCTCGTCCGAGCGACAGCGATGAAAAGTTGAAAATGTTTCAACTTTCTGGGATCGCGTCGCTGGGTCGTACGTGCACGACACGTGCACGAGTGCAAACTTTCACACGCACGTTTTTCACGTTTCGCTTAGTAGGAGAGAGACCCGCGATTATCGCTTTGTCACGCATGTCTCATTGAAAATGAATGGAGGAGAGGCGATGTCGCCTCCCGTGTGTCGAGCTCATTAGAAGTATTGAGCACTGACGAGACGAGAAGCGTAAACCAGTGAGGCGATTCCTTTCCTGTAGGGGACTTGGGTTTATGAGGAAATTAGGAAACATTAAAGTAGTTAATTTACTAATAACCAACCAATTTGTCCAAGTACATTTTAAACATTTAATTCACAGGAAAAGAAGTGTTCATTTAGCATAAAACGTAGTGCAGCTCAGTGACTGAGGTTGTGTGTTACACGAGGCCTGGCAGCAGTTCACATGGAATAATGAACAGGTTTAACCAGGGATAAGAATTAGCCTACTCATCACTTATTACTTCTGTTCAGCTGCCTTTTTTAGCATTAGTTTGCAATGAGAGTTCTCTGAAAGAACTGTACAAAGATAAACCAATTCCAAATCAATCAGGTAAAATGTCATGGTAGTATTCTTTAGTATAGAGCTCTTGAAAATACAGTACTTTTTACAACTCTGGGAATGTGCTGGCTGGGTAGTCGTGGGATATCGAAGTGCCATGGAGGGCTTGTTTTTACAGCATTGTGCTGAATTAAACTGATGAGTCTCTTTCTGGTGGTGAGAGAAAGCTGAGCCATGTTCCCTCATTTTAAATCACAAATCAAATCCTTGATGCAGATAACTGGACGTGTACGTCTTGGTCAGGAAGACAGCTCTGAGTGGTGGTCGAAGGGACCGGCGGCAACAGTGCGGGACTAAATTTACCTTCTTTCACGGGATATCTGCTGGTATTACCAAGTTGGCTGCATCCTGTCATGAGGGAGATAGGCCACTGATTCACGCGATGATGGTACCCCGTCCCTCGACCTAGAAGACAGACACACAAACACTGAAACTAAACTTCAAAGCCTGAGGACAGTTAACAAGATCTAGATGTAACCGTTAGCTACATACGTGAGCAACAGAGCAAACAGGACAGGTAAACCAGGACCACGTGTTGCATTCTGAACCACCAACACTATGTTGCTAAGAATGAAGAGAAAATACATAAGCTAGCAGATATTAGCTTATTGAGCACATGCTTCAAAAAGCTAAATAACTGTAAAAATATAAAACAGAGCTAACCCCACTTCTGCTTCCTTTCCCTCCATCTGCAGAGACCCGTCAGTAATCCACGGAGACCCCTCTGGTCACACCATGCTAATCGCTGCTAATCATTAGCACATCGACCTCGTAAATTAGCTTCACGAGCACATGATTTAAACAGCTAAATACCGTAAATCCTCTAATACAGGCCTGTATTCAATTAACGGCCGGGTCTCACATTTTGGCCGGAGTCGGCGGAGGTGAATAATGGCCGGTCTCTTATTGTGGCCGGGTGGAATGTGGTAACAAGCAAGTACGGGGGGCGGTTGTGTCATCGTCTCACTTTTGATTTGCCAGCGATAGACCGCGAGGGTAACTTTAACCGTGCGGAGACGAAGAGGAAATTTGATATCAAGTTCAAAGAGAACGTGCTGATTATGCTGCAGAACACTCTGGGGAGCAGTAGGGGTTGTATGAACTAGTCACTAGTCGACTTCACTATAGTGACTTGTTATGCCTGCCATCGACTAGTCGCTGTCACGTGATAATGACCGGCAAGATGCAGCCCTCGGAAAAGACAGCAGCCTGCTGTCAGCAGGTGACAAGCTCCTGCGCTCGGGGGGGGCAACGCGCTGTGCCAGAGCGTCGGTACTGACACGCGATCGTTCATGTCGGTTCATTTCCTTTAATGTTTTCTGTCTTTTATTTGCGCCTGATGTGTTTCGCTGCTGTGGAGCGGGGCGCATCACCTGTTTTGTCCTCCGGTGACGCACCGATCACTGATGCGGCCGCCAAGCAGCTCGCACTCCGCTGTTTTAGCGGTCGGTAGATCTTTTAGAGCTGCAGTTCAAAGGTAACTCATGAGGTGAATATATATGAACCCAGGTAGCAGTTTCTCTTTAGGACTGAGAGGAGATGCAGGAAGATAATAAACAGGCAGCACAGAAAAATAAATAAAAACAAGTTAGTTTTTGTACCTGCTGGTTGCAACAAACAGACACCATTGAAGGTAATCAGAAGTGAGGAACAGAAAATGAAATAATTATTTTAATGTTTAGAGCAGCAGGAACTCTGAGAGGCTGCAGGCGCATCAGTGAGTTTGCGGCCACTGCACAGGGGGAGGGGGGGGGAGGGCTGAAGCAGAAACTACCGTTGTTAAAAGAAATGTGTTTAACTTTGAAAATGTGGGCGCAATTTTAATTGTCAAAAACTCCAGCGAACCATTAGTTCATTTTGCTCAAATAGAAATAGAGGCCTGCCTCTAATACTGGCCCTCCTTCCAATAAAGGCCTGGAGCTTGATGAGCTTGAGTCAAATACAGGCCCGGGCCTGTATTAGAGGATTTACAGTAACTGTAAAAATAGAAAACAGAACCAATCCTGCTTCTGGCCCAGTCCCAGTATCCACGCTACACCCCACAGTCCTAGAAGGAAGTGCCCAGTAAAGCTTCGAGTTTGTAGCACACAAGTGTGCAGATAAATCCTAAATTGGGACATTGAGCATTTCATCATCGATTAATAAACATGCCGGGATGCCCATGGGGATTCTGGTCACTGTTTGTGCTACTTTTTAAAATCTTTATTAACTTTCAAACAATTATTTGGCAAAATTAGCATTTACTGTTGTCCATATTAAGTCTTAGGCCCAATCTCAATACTTGCTCTGCACCCTGCGGTCTTCAGCAAAGTGCACTTGGAGAAAGTGTGCAGTAGGCGTCGAGTGCGTAGTGCACAAGTGTGCAAATGATTGCAGAATTGAGACAGGGAGCATTGCGTCATCGATCACAATGCATGGCGGTATGCTGGTCGCTGTGATACTTTTTTCAAAAACCTTTATTAACAACTTTCAAACAAACAACAAAGCAATTTTTTTAAATAAAATTTACTGCATTGCTGCTTTGTCTAAAGCATTCAGAGCATCAACTAATCGTCCTAAAACAAACTAATTTCATTAGAAAATACATATTTTCAGAAAAGGAACTTGAGCCTTTTCTCCTGCAGCAATGTCTTGTGGGTAATACCCTTGCCCAAGGTCCGCATCGCTGCAGACTTGGGTGAAGTGCAGATTAAGGGTGCAATGGGGGCGTGGTCAACTTCCGCACTTGAGAATCGGGACACCCTACGCACTCGCACCGCTGGCCGGGAACGCGCAATTAAAGGGTGCAAGTGCAAGTATTGAGATCGGGCCTTAGTGTGAAACATGCAGCTGGATAAATATCATTAATTTCTTTCATTTTGGGTAAAGGAGGAAATTATAAAAATTTGGTTTTAATATTGAAGATCTGATTTTCCACAAACATTCCAAATGGTTCTTTTTCCTGACTGGAAGGGGTAAATTTCTCTATTTCATTTTTTATCGCAGCATTTTATTGTTGTTGAGACGATTATCGGTATTTATCCATGATGTGAATGTTTGAAACTAAGGTTTAACGTGGACCGCAATAAAAGTGAATTTTGTCAGATTTGTTAGTTTGAAAGTTGTTAATAAAGATTTTTAAAAGTAGCACAAACGGCGACTGGCATGCACTGTGGTTAATGACACAATGCTCGCTGTCCTAATTCGCCAGTTATTTGCACACTTCCACTTGAAACCTGCACACTTCCTCCAAGTGCATTTTGCTGAGGACCGTAGGGTGCAGGGCGAGTACTGGGACTGGGCTTGAAGCTCCTTTCTCCTCTGAATGACTTCCACGTCCTCAAACTGGTGCACCAGAGTTTTTTTCCTCCCAGGGAACGACTTACAAGGCATTCATTCCTACTAGAAGCCACTGCAAATGTATTAAAAATATGAATAAGTGCAACTTTTAAAAATGTCTTAAATGCTTTTTATAGTTTTGCTCGACAAGAAAAGGAGTTCAGCAGTCTGCTGCAGTTCTGGCCAAGGATGCCCGATTCATCATTAGCTCTGAACACAAACAAAGGTCTGGTGGTCATTGTACACCTGCAACATTTAAACCAGGGGTGTCAAATATGCGGCCCGCGGGCCGAATCTGGCCCGCAAGCGGGTTAAATCCGGCCCGCGAGATGGTTGTGTAAACTTTATTTTCATACTTTACAATGTAGAGTGAAAATAAACGTATCTTTGTGAGCAAGTTTTCTCTGTAATGAGTATAAATAAAACAAAGCTGCGCTCAAGGCTCACACAAGAACTTGAATTACATCCTGAAGTTGGCCGCCACTCAGGATGTGATTCTGATATTGATGTGCTGGTGAAAGCTAAAAGATGTAAAGTAAAATGAGTCAAATATACTTTAAGTGCTGCATGAAACTGATCTTGCCATGTGATCTGTAAGCTCTTTGAATCACTAAGGAATGTTTTTTCATTTATTGATTTTTAATGTTTTTCAAATTTTCAAGTACACTTCAGGTGTTGTACTATTTTGGATACACTGTCCTCAGGTTCCAGCTTTGTTTTATATTGATTGTATTAAAACAAAGAAAACAATCTGAAGTTGTTTTTAATTTACGGTCCGGCCCACTTGGGACTAGCTTTCCCTCAATGTGGCCCCGGAGCTAAAATAAGTTTGACACCCCTGATTTAAACACAATAATTAGTTTTTGTCCAAGAATATTTCCCTCACATCTTTCCGTTTGACTCTTTTTATTTACTGTAGGTTGATGAAGTATGCTAGCTCTATTCTGGATTCTAAATTAAAAGGTAATGTATTGAAATCCTCTTAAACCACTAAATTTCTGCTCTATTGTCTGAATGAAAGCCCAACATTTTAGTCTGGTTCTGAAGCGCTGTGTCCGGCTCATTCCGTCATGGGAAAGTCGATGATTTCAAACACTTTACATAACTTTAGTGGTTTGGTTGGACTCCAGATCTGCTGATGTTGGGAATCGGATACCACCATGCAGGAGTTGGCTTGTCTGATAGGAAGCTGATCGAAGAGGCCTTCGCCCTGGGAGACCTGCCGGTTCTTTGTAAGGATAAATACGAACTGATCCAAGGTGGAAAAATCATTTTGTGGCAATTCAACGAAAGGGATTTGATACAATTTCTGCAATTGTGCTTTCTATTAGATTGATTATAATAATTAAATAACTTATTATAGAAGGAAAGGCAGTCATGTTCCAAACCAATCAATATAAAAATAATAGAAATAGTTTTAATGATTTCTGTTTCTTGGATTATGTCATCATTTGATTACCGATAATGTTTTTATCCCTCCCACTGTCTTCATGGGTGACCCCGCGAGGGAAGTTGACCATTGAGCAGGATTGATGGTTTATCCCTTGAGGTCCACGTGGACCTTAAGGGATAAACCATCAATCCTGCTCAATGGTTAACTTTCTTTGCGGGGTCACCCATGAAGACAGTGGGAGGGTTAACGGATATTCACTGATCTTACTTTTATGGTAACTTTGGTACATTTGTAAAAGAAAAGCAAAGAAAATGACATCATTTGTACAAAACGACATTGTATTTGGTCCTATTTGAATCCTATCAGCTGATGTAGCGTTTACCTATTCTAGTTACCACCAGGACTCTGGCCATGGGTGTAAACCTTCCTGCTCACCTGGTGGTAATCAAGTCCACAATGCAGTACATTGCAGGCTCCTGCGAGGAGTACGGTGAGGCAGACATCCTGCAGATGATTGGCCGAGCTGGCCGCCCCCAGGTAGGATCGGGATCCTGAGTGTTGTGTAAGATTCACTGCATTTTCTAGGTCAGTGAATGTCCTCTAATATGTCATGTAGACAAAGAAAAGGCTGCCCCTAAACACTAGCCAGCTTCGCTTAAAGAATGTAAACAAACTCAAACCTTTGTTTTAATCTCTAGTTTGATTCATCAGCGACGGCAGTGATCATGACCAAAGTCCAAACCAGAGACAAGTACACGAATCTAATGAATGGGATGGAAATCATAGAGAGCAGGTAGCTTAGACAGCACCCTGGTTCTTCACGCCCACCCACCTTCGGTTGTCCTTTGACCTATTTGTAAATTCCTCCCCCAAGGAGGGGCTAATTCTGCGGTTCAGAAAGTAAAAGTAAGCTTTGCTGCCCTAGCTTGCACGGCCACCTGGTGGAACATCTGAATGCTGAGATTGTTCTTCAAACCATCAGTGATGTCAACATGGCTCTAGACTGGATCCGCTCCACCTACCTCTACATCAGAGCTCTCAAGAACCCCACACACTATGGTCAGAGTGTCACTCGTAGGTCACCGTCTAGCAACTGTGGACAGCTGCTTATGGATACACCTCTTCACTTTTCCTCAGGTTTCTCCGCTGACTTAGACAGATGTGGCATTGAAGCTAAATTACAAGGTGAGCACTTCAGTCTTTGTGAATTAACATCCCTGACAGGATGTTTCTCGAGCAGGTTTGCTCTCTGTTTAAACTTTAGTTTTGGTTTATTCATTAATCTCCCTGTAGAACTTTGTCTGAAGAACCTCAATGCATTGTCGGCCATTGATTTAATCCGTATGGATGAAGACATCAACATCAAACCAACAGGTAGAGCAGGGTAATTGTTGGGAAGTGTTTGATTTGGGTTATATGTTTTTATTGTCTGTCATATTCAATGATGTCAATTTAATGTTCATGTATTTAATGACTTTGCTGGCAAAGGTTCTCAGTCATCCAGCTCATGGTAATCCAAAAGGGGTTCGGATGAAGGCAACTGGACTTCTTTGGTTTCTTGAAGATGCTCCGCTTCTCGTCCAAGGAGCTTTGTCCATTCTGACTGGATGAGACGTGAAATGTCTTCAAGAAATCAAAGAAGTCCAGTTGCCTTCATTCTACCCCTTTTGGATTAATTACTGATTGAACTTGTGTTTGTCCTGATAGAGGCTGGCAGGTTGATGGCGAGGTTTTGTATTGCTTTTGACACGATGGAACAGTTCAGCAAAGTTGTTGGCACCGAGAGCCTGTTTGATCTGGTAAATCTGTCTTTCATACAGTTTTGTTGTGAAGATATTGCTCAGTGTTAACCTACCCAGAAACCCCTACTGTTTGTGAGCAGGTCAGTCTGGTGTCTAAGAGCAGAGAGTTCAGTGACATTCAGCTGAGAGTGAATGAGAAGAGAGCTCTGAACACCCTGAACAGGGACAAGAACAGGAGAACCATCAGGTCAGAAGGACTGCGATCAGCAGGTTCATGTCTGCCATAAGGCATTACGCTCAGATCTTTGTAATTTAGCTTTTTCCTTATCCTTTCAGATTTCCTCTTGAGGGAAAAATTAAAACCAGCGAGATGAAAGTGAACTGGTAAGTGGAAATATTTAGTGGTTTTGTTACACACAGAATGTCTGCTGCAGAAAGGAGCTTCAACAAACTCCAGATCTGTCTGTGAACTCTTGACTTGAGTTTTTCAGCTCTGATTGTCTTTAATGGAGCATCAGTACCTTAATTCCTCATAGCAAAAAGTCCCGTTTATTCTAATAAAACAGATTATAAATGACCTGTATTTATGTAGCACCTTCTAGAGCCTATGACCCCCCAAGGCACTTTACAACACAAACATTCATTCACACAGTGGTCTTGATGAGCTACATCGTAACCACACCTAGAACACACTGACAACCCTGTACCGGAGGTGTGACGGAGTCATTGCTTTGCAAGTCACAAGTCTTTCCAGTCAAGTCCAAGTCCAAGTCGAGTCCAAAGTCAATGATGTGGAAGTTCAAATCCTTAACTTTGAATTTTCAAGTCATAATCAAGTCATCTTTCCAACTTCAATTTAATGACGATAATAATAATAAAAATTCCAGAAATAAAGTTTCTTAAAGCTTCATTTATTTATTCAAACAAACAAAGTGAAACTGATTCTAAACAAAGTGCTGCTGCATTCAGCAGTACAACATCAAACCCAGATTTCTGTCCATGTCGGGACACTTTTGTGTTAAAATATAAAATATGCTCAAGTCATCATCAAGTCAACAGATGCAAGTCGATTCAAGTTGCAAGTCATTGGCGTTCAAGTCCGAGTCAAGTCGTAATTTCACTTCAGGCACTCGAGGAGTACAGACACTTCCCTCTTTCGCTCCCTTATCTTTTTTTCTCAAGGCTCTTTGTCCTGTCTGCCCACAGAGCGCTTCTCTGCATTTCTTCTGAAAAACACTATTTTTACTAACCATGGATTTGATAAACTGGTCATTCAATGCGATCAATACGATTTTTTCAACAATGAGAACGGAGCAGGGGGCTCCCACATGTCTACAGGGGACACACCCGGTGGGATATATGCTGGATTCCTGGAAGGAGTGGAAGATCATACAGTATGCCTCAGCCAGCTGTCCATTGAGGATATCGAAGATGTGTGGATATTCGGCCTGATGATCACTTGATTTCTTCTGATTGGAGTGGGAGGATACTGGTTTTCTGGAAATTTGGGAAGACGGGAGCAACTGGAGGGCGACCCGCACCCACGGAAAGCACCTTCTGTGTGGAGACTTCTCAGACTGGGACGTTACTCGAGGTGAATCGTAAGCTGGACAATGTTCTAGCTGCGATACCGGTATTAGTGCGCAAAATGGATGTCATCTCTGAGAGAGTCACCTGACGGTATGGACAAATTAAAAAACCCAAAATTGGCTTCACTGAAGGACTGGAAATGATCAGTTTAAAGACTGAAGGCAGAGAGGAAAATTATCTCAGCCTGACCCAAACAAAGTCTTGTTATCTGAATCTGACGCCCCGGTAGCCTTGAGCTGCAAGCAACTAAAACCCCCACGAAGGAATGCTGTGAAAACCCGACCTACACCCCCCCCACCCCCACCCCACCCCCCACCTTCGGTTTGATGGACTTCAGCCTGGCGAGGTCATCAGCTGGAGGAGTCAATGTGCTCTTTGCTTCTCCCAAGATCTCCCTCCCACCTGTGACTGTACAGTAGATGAGCGCCGTAGATGGCTGCTCTTGCTGGGGGAAACAGGATCCCTGGGATTAATAAAGGATTGATTGATTGATTGATTGATTGATTGATTGATTGAAGTCTTTATAGATTTTATCAAGTCAAGTCAGAAGTCATTAAAATAATAACTCAAATCTGACTCGAGTCCAAGTCATGTGACTCGAGTCAACACCTCTGCACTGTACACAGGAAACACCGGTCCTTTGACCACCACCAGCAGGCGAGAAGAAGAAGGCGATCTTTAATTTAGTGCTTCTCAAGATAAAAATCATGAGGCGCTTCACAAAAACAAAATAATTTTAAGTATAAAAAGATTTTAAAAATGATTATTAATATGTTTATATTTATATTTATGTTTATGTATTTAGCAGACGCTTTTGTCCAGCGACTTACAAGTGATAATCGGCATGTAGCCCTTGAGGCTAACAACAACAACAACCAATTTCCAGTCAGTCATAGGTGGCAGTGAGGCAGCATGATGAATCATGGAGAGGAAGGAACAAGGAGTGGACAGTAGAGAGGGGGGACGGGTGCAGGGAGGGTGCTAGTTTAGAAGATGCTCTCTGAAGAGCAGGGTCTTCAGGAGTTTCTTGAAAATTGAAAAGGAAGCTCCTGTTCTGGTAGAGCTTGGAAGGTCATTCCATGTTTGTGGAACGATGCATGAGAAGAGTCTGGATTGTCCTGAGCGTGGTGTAGGCACTGCTAGCCGACCATCCTGTGATGACCGGAGCGGCCGGGCCGAGACGTAAGCCTTTGCAAGAGGATTCAGGTAGATGGGAGCCGTACCATCTCGGACTTTATTTGCTGTAGCGGAATATAGTTGATATATTCTTTACACTTTTATTACGTCCAGAGATTAATCTATGAACTGGGCCCTTATAATCAGAAGAGCTTGTTTTTACTTCAGGGAGTTTTATTCAAACACTTTGTATTGACTTAGAGACAAGAAAAGAGAGAGTTGGGATCGTTTAAGAATCTTTAATTTCTATAATTATAAACTCAAACTATCACCAGGACTAACTCTATATGATGGATGCATATTGATTTGAATGTTGAAGTGTTGGTGTGTGTGTGTGTGTGTGTCAGTTCAGAATCTCCAGCTGAGGCAGGCGGATCTGGGTGTCAGATGTTTTGACTAACTACCACGAGGACTTCAGGAGGAAGAGGCATGAAACGCCATCTGCCGAATCTACGTACCGTGTAGGAGACTCCCGTGGTCAGATCAGGAATGTCAGGTCCTCGGACCTTCCTTGGTACTGGAACTGATGAAACAGTGTTGCAGCACGACAAAACCCGTCTATGGATAGCTCCCGGTAGCAGCGGCAGGTCTCAGCGCGTTCAGCTTTTATTTTGAAGGAATCGTCGTCTTGTTGATAAATGACAGAATTTTCCAGCTTGACAGTTCTCAGCTTAAAAGTAGAAAATACAGCTGGCCAGTCTGCAATTCACTTAGCGATGATGGTTTTGAGAGCTGGTTGGAGCTACGTTGAATCTCTGATGGAGCTCAGATGGAACTCAGATGGAACAGAAGTTAAAATGGCGTTGCTCTGTTTTATTAACTTAGTTGTTTATAATTCTTAGCCAATCGGAGTGGACAGATTAAATAAACACTACAGAACTCTGCCCCGCAACAGACCGGAGTTTCTGATTGGAATGAGCGAACAATGTGTCCTGTGTTTACCTTGTGTGAATCAGGATGTCTGGCATAGTTCCTGTTATTCAATAAACACATAAATCATTACAGTGATTTCACAGATCAATCACCTGATTATTATTGACTACCATTTGTTTTGATTAGCTTTATTAGAAATAAAGTTCTTTGTTTAATTAATGAAAAGCGTTCTTCGTCCTTCTTCTGTCTTCTCTCCTGGAATGTAAACACCAAAAGCAAGCACACGACCTTGGCAATTCGTGCACACTGTTACTGTGGAAAAGGGCAGCTGTTAAGGGCAGAAAATAGCATGTTCATGACGCTACAATGCTAGTTTTAGCAATTTGAGTTTGATGCGTGCTGCTAGCGGTAGCCAGTGGAGCTCAATGAACAGAGGGGTGACGTGTGCTCTTTTTGGCTGATTGAAGACCAGACGCGCCGCTGCGTTCTGGACCATTTGAAGAGGTCTCACAGTACAGCCTGGAAGACCAGTTAGAAGAGCATTGCAGTAATCGAGGCGGGAGATGACAGTAGATTGCACCAGGAGCTGGGTGGCATGTTGTGTTAGGTATGGCCTGATCTTTCGTATGTTATACAGCGCAAAGCGGCATGAACGAGCAACAGAGGCAACATGATCTTTAAAGGTCAGGTGTTCATCAATCACAACACCCAGATTTCAAACTGCCTTTGAAGATAGGAAGTCATTTTGGATTGAGATATTGTGCTGTATGGATGGTTTTGCTGGGATGACAAGTAGTTCAGTTTTAGAGAGGTTCAGTTGGAGATGGTGGGATTTCATCCATTTTGATATGTCAGAGAGACAGTTTGGTATTTGTGCAGAGACAGTGTGGTCGTCCGGTGGAAATGACATAGAGCTTGGTGTCGTCTGCATAGCAGTGGTAGGAGAAGCCATGTGAGCGAATGATGTCACCCAGTGAGGTGGTGTATATGGCAAAGAGAAGAGGTCCTAGTACTGAGCCCTGGGGGACTCCTGTGGCAAGATGGTGCACGGTAGAGGATTGTCCAAGCCAAGATACACTGAATGATCGTCCTGTGAGGTACGATTCAAACCAGGCATGTGCTTTCTCTGTGATGCCCATGCTAGAGAGTGTGGACAAGAGGAAGCCATGGTTGACAGTGTCAAATGCAGCCGATAAGTCGAGCAGAATAAGCACTGAGGATTTGGCAGTCGCTCTAGCTTCTTTTAAGGATTCAGTCACTGCTAACAGAGCAGTTTCAGTGGAGTGGCCCTTTTTGAACCCAGATTGGTAAGGGTCAAGCAGACAGTTTTGTGAGAGGTATTCTGTGATCTGCTTGAAAGCCACCCTTTCAATGATTTTGGACAGAAAAGGGAGGAGAGAGATAGGTCGGTAGTTCTCCTCATGATTTGGAGGAAGAGATGGTTTTAGCAGCGGTTTAACCTGAGCATGCTTGAGAGGTGGGAAATGTACCGGATGTCAGTGAAACGTTGATCACATGAGTGACTGCTGCGGCTACTGTAGGAGCAAGAGCTTGGAGCAGCTTAGTCGGAATGGGGTCCAGTGGGCATGTAGTAGGGCGGCTGCACGTGAGAAGCTTGGACACACAGTTCCCAGTGAGAGGGGAAAAAGAGGAAAATGAAGCAGTAGGGCCTGAGATGGTTGGGCTAGAAGGGGTTTGTGGTAGCGAATGTTCAGGAGTGGCCAGTTGAGTAAACTGTTTGCTTATAGCTGCCACTTTGTCAGTGAAGAATGAGGCATTGATCACATGTGTGACTGCTGCGGCTACTGTAGGAGCAATAGCTTGCAGCAGCTTAGTCGGAATGGCTCTTTGATGGGAACAGGTTGCCGACCCCTGGTCTATGTCTATGCAGGACAATAAAGTTTTGAGGTTTTACTTCTGGGGGCAGAGTTGCAATGACATGCGCACTGCGTTGCCCTAGCACCAATGTAAAACAGAAAAGGCGGACAGGGACTCAGGGCCAACATTACCAGTAATCAAAGATGTACCCGTTACATTTAAATTGGATGTCTGGGCTAATTTCGGTTTTGGTGATCCTGGATGTGAAAGAATCACTTAACACAGTATTTGTTTACTATTTTTAAGTTCAGTAATATTCTATCTTAAAGCTGCTCTACCGAAAACATTATTTCTTATATTATTTAAGTAATTATAGGCAGCACACTTTAAACATTATTGCTCACTATAGTGAATAGATGAATGTTCTGTTTTTCAGGGATTTTGAAATCAAAAAGAAATTGAAAACTATTCTACTGCTTTTATTAAGTAATGAACATTTTTGTGTGAAGAATCGTGATTCATTTCAGACTCAAATCGAATCGTTAGGCAGATAATCGGAATCGGATCGAATCGTGAGACAGGTAGAGATGCACACCACTAATATTTAGAGTATTTTAAGATCTACTAAGTACTTTAAAGTTATCAATGCTGCGGTTGGGTTTGTGCCGTAAAGCCATTCCGTGTCGTATTGCCTGTTGTAAAGTACTCCACAATGTTGCAAACAGCTGCGGCGCTTGAAATAGCGCTGGCGGCCATCTTCAGCGGAGCGGTGCTTCTGGGACGCGGCACTGCGCTCCCCGTGTGCCCACTCTCAGTAACTGCAACGGCTTGTAATTAAGAGGACGGCGCGGCGCATCTGTCTCCGCTGTGCCCCCGGCTTAAGTGGATTTTGCATTCAAACACATTCAGCGCTACAAAATGTATATCCATTACAGCAATATAACTGGCAAAAGAACATTTACAAAGATTTGAGAGTCAAAAACACAGACCTCATCGCTTTACGCCATCATGTTTCCCAGTCTTGAAAATGTCCTGATAAAGTTCTGGAAAATAAATTCAAGAAAAGAGTGGGAGCCCTGCTAACTTTAACTCCTCTGCACCATCGCCCACTATCTGTTACCATGGTGACACATGACACTGCTCCTCCTCCTGGAGTTTCTCCTCACAATGAACCCACCCAGAGTTTTCACATATGCTGCTCCTCAGGCCGTCTGTGTTTTTATTATCTTCTAGCTTGATTCAGGCTCAGATGAGTTCCATCTCGATTCAGGATTTTGGACTGACTCAGGACACAGCAAAGATCTTCAGGATTGGGATGCGCATCAGTAAATGTATGTATGTATGCGACACACAGGAACACGCTCTGTTGGCCACTTGTTTCCTAAACTTGTGTGTTTATCCCAAAAGGCCTGTCAGAGTTCCTGAGCCATCGATCCGAAGCGGTTTTTCCTGCCCTCCTCAACTCTCTGATCCTGGCTAAGTGCTTTAGAGCCAAGATTTGGGAGAACTCACACTTTGTCTCCAAACAGCTGGAGAAGATAGGTGAAGGAGAAGCTGTGCTGCTGCTATTTCTGTTGAATGAATGCATCTGCTACTCCTGACATTTCCTCACATGTACAGAAGTTTCTAATCATTTAGTAACAGCATGCTGTGTTTCAGGCCAGACGTTGTCAACAGCGATGGTGAACGCTGGACTCACAACCTTCAGCCAAATAGAGCAAACAAACCCCAGAGAGCTGGAGCTGGTCTGTCTGTCTAATATTTCAAAATAAAACTTTTTTTTTATATCTTAAAGGAGCCATATCATGGGAAATCCACCTTTTGGAGCTTTTTAACCATGTAATGTTATTTCCTTATGAAAAATACTCCCAAACTCGTTTCATGCATTGTCCTGTCTCAGCTACAAATTTAGAGTTTTAATTTGAAAAGACTGCAAAAGCCTTGATGGAAACTGAGTTATCAAGCCCTGCTCCTCCCCCTGAAGCTAGTCTCGGATGTTAGCCACCAACGCCCACCTTCTCCTAGCTGCGAGCATAGATGGTAAATGGTAAATGGCCTGTATTTGATATAGCGCCTTCTAGAGTCACGGAACCCCTCAAGGCGCTTTACAACACAATCAGTCATTCACACATTCACACACTGGTGGTGATGAGCTACGATGTAGCCACAGCTGCCCTGGGGCGCACTGACAGAGGCGAGGCTGCCGAGCACTGGCGTCGCCGGTCCCTCCGACCACCACCAGCAGGCAACGTGGGTTAAGTGTCTTGCCCAAGGACACAGCGACAGACTGAGCGGGACACGAACCTGCAACCTTCCGATTACGGGGCGAGCACTTAACTCCTGTGCCACCGTCGCCCCCATAGAGCAGCTGGTTTCCTGCTGCAGTTGAGAATGGGACCTTCATGTCACAGATGACTGCTTTAAACCTCCGCCGGTATACCAGGGTGGATGTTCTGACTTCTGCACTGGGCACAGGACACCGCCGTAAAAACCACGTGTCCTGTCTACAAACATGCACGTGCTGGCCAGCACGGGACATGTGTGTTGACTTGGTACTTACCTGGACACTTTAACCACTGGACCACCAAGGCCAACACAACAGCAGACTTGCCTAAAACACTGCACGTTGTGTTGGAGCAGGTGTGGGCGGAGCTTCACTGAAACACACCGCTTCATCTCCAGGTATAAAATCAGGCTGACGAAACCAACTCATTTTTAAGATAAATAACTCATATCTCAGTAGTGCCAGCGGTGATATTTGACCATGTACTCCACCTACCTTTGCTCTCAGAGGTTTAAAACAGCACGATCTGGAACCTCTAAGTCGTTAAAGGCAGCTGAGCTGATTGGCTAAAGAACAAACACGTTTGGTTGTGAGATCTCTTTTGGTTTATGTGTCCTTTAGCAGCTTTTTAAAAATCTCTGCTCTAAAGCAGCACTTCATTGTTATAACATTAATAATTATTACTACTGTTGTACATGCTAGTACGTAGGTTGGGAGTGTACAGATGTCTTACTATGAGCTCCTCCTGAGTTCTGCTATCTGAAGAGACTGATAAAACAGCTGGATGTAACTGTGTCTGACTTTCTGAGCAGATTCTGAACAGACATCCACCCTTTGGAAACCAGATCAGAGATTCTGTCAGACATCTCCCAAAGTACAGCGTTACTCTGGAGCAGGTAAACAGTGACGACGGACACAAGAAGGTCCCTTTCTGACGCAAAAACGAACCCAAAGCACCAACGAACTTAAATATTTCTCAGGACAACAAAAGCAGTAGCAGTGGATCGGATTTGTGTTCTCTTGCTGCTGTTGAATCGCTATAAACGCTCTGAACACCTGAAGCTGTGGTGATCTTTTAGCTTCCCAGGTTCGGCAGTGACACAGCTGAGGTTGTGGCCAGGGTCAACCTTAAAAACCAGGCTGATCTGCTGTCCAGGAGAACCGCTCCAGGACACCACTTTGTCTCCCTGATCATTGGCGACGCTGACAACAACGTCGCATTCCTGCAGAAAATCACGTGAGGAACACTTCCACGTGTCACCTAAATGTGCTTTAGTCACTAAATTAGAACTGTAGCTTTTAGCGATGCATGAATCCAAACTTAAGCCGCTTTACAAGGAATGTTTTCATTCTTGCTCACAGAGACTCCATGCTGCTCAAAAGTGGCAGCTGGTCAAAGAAGATACATGTGGCAAAACCTGTGAAAGGAAATGAGATCAGTGTCCATCTTATCAGCTCAGATTATGGTGAGACACACATACGTTGACATTAACACACAGAAATATGAGATGGCCACCACAGCTAATCCTTTTTAGCAGACAAATGTGGCTACGACCTAAAATGTGGCATGATAGTTGCTGACGGTCATTTACAACCTTTGCTTTGATTGCTAACTGTTACTGGGAACATTGCATGAATATTAGTTAAACTGGTTAAAATGCTGTTGGTTAATCATTCATACGCTCATCCAGGTTAGGGGAGGTGCAGGTTGACCCGGGGTCCTCCGGCCAACAGGACATGCCTGAAACACCTCCCCACCAACATGTGTGTCAGATCTAAACCTTTGGACTGATTGACCTGTTTTATGTTTATTCCTCCTTCAAAGTGGGGCTGGACATCCAGCAGAGGTTTACCATGCAGTTCTCAGCATCCAGGACGTTTGGGTCAGAAATCCCATACAACACAATAGAACAGAGACCCCAACTCACCGCTCAGACACCGCTGTCTGCAGCGCAGAGGGACAAGGCCTCCCCTGCAGAGGAACAAGGCAGCACATGTAATAGCTACACTAGCGCATAATGTTTGTATAAATGCTGCATTTCATCAGAGCTGTCGTTTACCTGTGTCGTTGTTTTCCTGATAGACCCAGGCCATAAAAGACAGTGCAACCACCTCTGCAAGAATAAGACTCTTTGTGCTCATGACTGTTGTGAGTAAAGAAGCTTCTATTGCCTTTTTGTACTCATTTCTGACTGTCAGGCTCAGAAAGGTCATTCTTCTTGTAGGTAAAGTTGGTGTAGCCGTGGGACGGAAAAGGTCCACAAACCACGAGTCCAGCTTCTCTTCATACTTGACTGACTTGAGGAACAGGAGTGATGCGCTGGTCCAGACCCCGGTCAAACGGCTGAAGGTAAACCATCCTGTGGGCAGTCCCAAGCTAAGGTGGGCGGGGCCATGAATACTAATATCCCCAGTGATTTACTAGTAATTACTCATTACAGATTGTGTAAAAGCCGTGTAGTCTTCCACGCTGTGTACTACCGTTCTAAATGAGTGTTTTATGTTGTGTTTCCGTTCCTCAGATGGGCAACGGGCCGTTGGCTGTCAGCATGCAGCGGTTTGCTTTCAAATCCAAAGAAAACCTTTCTCCAGTTTTCTGGTATTTACACGGTGATCTGAGCTGTTTAGTATTTATGAAGGCAAACTTTTGGTTACATGAAATCTGAAGGATATTTTTGATATTGTTTTTTATTTGATCTGAAGCTACAGCGAGAATGAGTATAAAGCTGGACAGATGGACCTGGCGGCTGACGACAGTTCTCAGCTGAAGGACATAAGTTGTCTGAATGATCCTGATCCAGGTAAACATTAAGATTAAGGTGCCTTTAACTTCCACGCCCTTCAACATACAGACTCTGGACCTGCAGGATGCACAGTTCTGCTGTAGATCCATCCACGTCCTCAGTGGTCTCAAAAACTCATTTGGTTTTTTACTTATTTTAAAGAGCCAGTTTAGACAACCTGACATTTAGACAAGTCAAACGTAAATGTTTCTTGTCCGGGGATCGGACCACCAAGGCTCCCGCCTTGGTCTGCCACCCGATTCGCATTGCACCGGACCCTTCATGTTCCTCCTGCGGGTGGTGGGTCCACAGTTGGACGAGCCCATGTATCCGGTTCGGGCTGGGCCCGGCCGGGCCCCATGGGCGAAAGCCCGGCCACCAGGCGCTCGCTCACGGGCCCCAACCCCAGGCCTGGCTCCAGGGTGGGACCCCGGTAACCCTCCGGGCCGGGTACTCCGACTCTTCGTTTTAACCGCCATGAAAGATCCTTCGAACCGTTCTTTGTCTCACCCTTCACCTAAGACCAATTTGTCATGGGAGACCCTACCAGGGGCACTAAGTGCCCCAGACAACATAGCTCCTAGGATCATTAGGGGACTCAAACTCCTCCACCACGATAAGGTGACGGTTCAAGGAGGAGTGGCAGACCAAGGCGGGAGCCTTGGCGGTCCAATCCCCGGACAAGAAAACTAGGATAGCCAAGCGGGGTGCAGCAGTGGCAGTTGCCGAGGCAAAATCTCGGGCGTGGGAGGAGTTTGGTGAGGCCATGGAGAAAGACTATCGATCGGCTCCAAAGAGGTTCTGGCAAACTGTCCGGCGCCTCAGGAGAGGAAGGCAGCAACTCGCTCACACTGTTTACAGTGGGGATGGGGAGCTGCTGACGTCAACTGAGGCTATAGTCGGACGGTGGAAGGAATACTTTGAGGAGCTCCTCAATCCCACCAATGCGCATTCCGAGGAGGAACCAGAGCTGGGAGGCCTGGGGATGGACTGTCCGATCTCGGGGGCAGAAGTTGCTGAGGTAGTCAAACAACTACACAGCGGCGGAGCCCCGGGGGCGGATGAGGTTTGTCCTGGGTATCTCAAGGCTATGGATGTTGTAGGGCTGTCATGGTTGACACGTCTCTACAACATTGCGTGGTCATCGGGGGCAGTTCCTAGGGAGTGGCAGACCGGGGTGGTGGTCCCCATCTTTAAGAAGGGTGACCTGAGGGTGTGTTCCAACTATAGGGGGATCACACTCCTCAGCCTCCCTGGAAAGGTCTACGCCAAGGTACTGGAGAGGAGGGTCCGATCGATAGTTGAATCTCAGATAGAGGAGGAGCAATGTGGTTTTCGTCCTGGCCGTGGAACTGTGGACCAGCTCTATACCCTTGCAAGGGTGATGGAGGGGGCATGGGAGTTTGCCCAACCAATCCACATGTGCTTTGTGGATTTGGAGAAGGCTTATGACCGTGTCCCCAGGGGCACCCTGTGGGGGACGCTCCAGGAGTATGGGGTGGGTGGCCTTCTGTTAAGGGCCATTCAGTCCCTTTACCAGAGGAGCGTGAGTTTGGTCCGCATAGCCGGTAGTAAGTCGGACCTGTTCCCAGTGAGGGTTGGACTCCGCCAGGGCTGCCCTTTGTCACCGGTTCTGTTCATCACTTTTATGGACAGAATTTCTAGACGCAGCCGTGGTGTGGAGTGTGTCGAGTTTGGTGGCAGGAGAATCTCGTCTCTGCTTTTTGCGGATGATGTGGTCCTCCTAGCTTCATCCAGCTCTGACCTTCAGCTCTTGCTGGGTAGGTTCGCGGCCAAATGTGAAGCGGCTGGGATGAGGATCAGCACCTCCAAATCTGAGACCATGGTTCTCGACCGGAAAAGGGTGGCTTGCCACCTCCGGGTCGGGGAAGAGGTCCTACCTCAAGTGGAGGAGTTTAAGTATCTCGGGGTCTTGTTCACGAGTGAGGGTAGGAGGGATCGGGAGATCGACAGGCGGATTGGTTCGGCGTCTGCAGTGATGCGTGCACTGAGCCGATCTGTCGTGGTGAAGAGGGAGCTGAGCCAGAAAGCCAGGCTCTCGATTTACCGGTCGATCTACGTCCCAATCCTCACCTATGGTCATGAGCTTTGGGTAATGACCGAAAGAACGAGATTGCGGATACAAACGGCCGAAATGAGTTTCCTCCGTAGGGTGGCCGGGCTCAGCCTTAGAGATAGGGTGAGGAGCTCGGACATTCGGGAGGGACTCGGAGTAGAACCGCTGCTCCTCCGGATCGAAAGGAGCCAGTTGAGGTGGTTTGGGCATCTGGTCAGGATGCCTCCTGGACGCCTCCCCGGGGAGGTGTTTCGGGCATGTCCTGCCGGCAGAAGGCCCCCGGGTCGACCCAGGACACGTTGGAGAGGTTACATCTCCAATCTGGTCCGGGAACGCCTTGGGGTCCTGCCGGAGGAGCTGGTGGACAAGGCCGGGGAGAGGACGGTCTGGAGCTCCCTAATTGGGATGCTGCCCCCGCGACCCGGACCCGGATAAGCGGAGGAAGACGAAGACGAAGACAAACGTAAATGTGTTGTAGGAGTGCCTGACTATGGTGTAGAAACCCGTGTGTGTGTGTGTGTGTGTGTGTGTGTGTGTGTATACTGTATCTTTAGGCTAAAATGAATGTTTGGTTGATTTAAATGTGTTCTAGTAGATCCAAGAAAGTAGCACTGGAGAGGAAAACATTTGACCAAAAAGTAAAAATGTGAGGCAGCCGTAGCTCAGGAGTTAGAGTGGGTTGTCCAGTAATCATGTATCTCGCCAGAGAATGCTGCTGTTGTGTGGAAACTTCTTTTAAAAAGGGCCATATCATGGAAACTCCCCTTTTTAGAGCTTTTTATCATGTAATATTGTTTCCTCATGAAAAATACTCCCAAACCCGTTCTTGGCTCCATTCATGCATTTTCCTGGTTCAGCTGCACATTTTGAATTTTATTTTGTAACTCCTGAAACGGCTTAATATATCATTTGTAAGTCACTCCATCTTCCTGCTCCCAACTTCAGGCCCTGCTCCTCCCCTTGAAGCTAGTCTCTGGTCTGAAACCTGTGTCCCCTGGCCAGCTTAGGATATGTGACGTAGGTGACCGGTGTCATGTAACAGACTTGCTCGTCCAGTGGTGAATGTGCTGGGCTGGCATGCAGTTTTGTGCAGGCTCACATCCCGGTCTCTGCAGTAACTTTTTTCTGTTGGTTTCTGTTTTGAGTGTCTGGAGCATAGCTTATGGGGGGAGTTCTGCAAGGATCTGCTCCTTCTCCATCTGACGTGATGTCCTTTCTCCCCTCGTTGATTGTTTATTGGACTCACCTGATTCCTGATTGCCCTCAAGTGTTTAAACTAGAACCCGACCAATATGGGTTTTTTAAGGCCAATGCCGATTTTTAAATATTTTTTTTGCCGATGGCTGATATCTAAAGCCGGTTATTAAGGCTGATATTTATATGTTTTAGCAGCACATTGATTGTGAAAGACAACTAAACACTCACTGTGTGCAATATAAGTTAAATACGGTAAGTCAATAAATCTCTTAATATTTATTAAACTTCAAAAATTAAAAAAAACTCTAATCATAAAAAAATACCAGTATGTTGGGGTCCTTCGGATCCTTTCTTCAGTCTAGTAGTGGCGGCAGTTGGCCACACGGATGCCTGATAGTTCTGTTTTTCTGTCAGATCCTCGTCCTGCCTTCCTGCTGTATCACCCTACCTACCATACAACCATAGCCAATACAACCATAAACAATGAAACCATAGCCAATACAACCATAAACAATGAAACCATAGCCAATACAGCCATAGCCAGTACAACCATAGCCAATACAACACAACCAATACAACATAGCCAATACAGCCATAGGCAATACAGCCATAGCCAATACTGTACAACCATAACCAATACAACCACAACCAATACATCCATCCATCCATCCATCTTCTGAACCCGCTTAGTCCACGTAGGGTCGCGGGGGGGCTGGTGCCTATCTCCAGCAGTCAACGGGCAAGTAATACAACCAATACAACCATAGCCAATACAACCACAACCAATACAACCATAGCCAAGACAGCCATGGCCAATACAACCATAGCCAATACAACCATAACCAATACAACCACAACCAGTGAAACCATAGCCAATACAACCATAGCCAATACAACCATTGCCAATGCAGCCATAGCCAATACAACCATAGCCAATACAACCATAGCCAATACAACCATAGCCAATACAACCATAGCCAATACAATCATAGCCAATACAATCATAGCCAATACAACCATAGCCAATGAAACTATAGCCAATACAACCATAGCCAATACAATCATAGCCAATAAAATCATAGCCAATATAACCATAGCCAATACAACCATACCCAATACAACCATAGCCAGTACAACCATAGCCATACAATTATAGCCAATACAATCATAGCCAATACAACCATAGCCAATACAATCATAACCAATACAATCATAACCAATACAACCATAGCCAATACAACCATACCCAATACAACCATAGACAATACAACCATAGCCAATACAATTATAGCCAATACAACCATAGACAATACAACCATAGCCAATACAACCATAGCCAATACAATTATAGCCAATACAATCATAGCCAATACAACCATAGCCAATACAATTATAGCCAATACAATCATAGCCAATACAACCATAGCCAATGAAACTATAGCCAATACAACCATAGACAATACAACCATAGCCAATACAATTATAGCCAATACAACCATAGACAATACAACCATAGCCAATACAACCATAGCCAATACAACCATAGCCAATACAATTATAGCCAATAGAATCATAGCCAATACAACCATAGCCAATACAATCATAGCCAATACAATCATAGCCAATACAACCATAGCCATTGAAACTATAGCCAATACAACCATAGCCAATACAATCATAGCCAATAAAATTATAGCCAATACAACCATAGCCAATACAACCATACCCAGTACAACCATAGACA